ATAGAGGATATTTGTTTAGTTCAGTGTAAGATCGGAATATATTTCACCGAGTGAGCACCAAAAGGTATATTTCACGAGTGGCGTAGCCACGAGTGAAATATGAACCTTTGGTGTTCACAAGGTGAAATATATTTCGATCTTACACTAAACTAAACAAATTTTCTTTTTATTATATGCAAAGAAACGTTTTAAAAAGACATTTAACCTAATACTGAATGAAAAGCGCGCCAAATAATAATACAACGTGACGTCATTTACGACGTCACATCATTAAAATGGTACCTAGTTCTGTGCACGCTGGTATTTCACTGAAACAACGTAAGGGGCTTAAATTCAAAACAGTGAAATTATCAAAGTGGTAATTTCACTGTTTCAAGCAGTGAAATTACCAGTTTTTATATCACTGATATATTTCTATAAACCACCGAAAAGCATGTAATAAATAGAGGATATTTGTTTAGTTCTGTGTAAGATCGGAATATATTTCACCGAGTGAGCACCAAAAGGTATATTTCACGAGTGGCGCAGCCACGAGTGAAATATGAACTTTTTGTGTTCACATGGTGAAATATATTTCGATCTTACACTAAACTAAACAAATTTTCTTTTTATTATATGCAAAGAAACGTTTTAAAAAGACATTAAACTTAATACTGAATGAAAAGCGCGCCAAATAATAATACAACGTGACGTCATTTACGACGTCACGTCATTAAGTTGGTACCCAGTTCTGTGCACGCTGGTATTTCACTGAAACAACGTAAAGGGCTTAAATTCAAAACAGTGAAATTATCAAAGTGGTAATTTCACTGTTTCAAGCAGTGAAATTACCAGTTTTTATATCACTGATATATTTCTATAAACCACCGAAAAGCATGTAATAAAAAAGATTAATGCAAGCTTTAGAAATATTCCATTAAGTAACAAAAACACACACACACAAACACATGAGTGAGTGAGCCATGTAAACACGCAAGTCATTTAAGAAACAAATAAACCCCGCAAAAATATGCGTAAATTCCAATTCACAATTAATTTAAATCTGTACAGTACACTCCCAATTACTTCGCAAGAAAACAAAAGGCTGTTGTTAGCCTGATATTATGTATGAAAGGTGCTTTATGAAATAGACATAATTTGATGTTAATTTCAGATTATAAATAGCACAAAGTCAAATGCATTTTAAATTGAATAAAAATGTCATATGAATATATTAATTTTACTGCAGATTCATTAAATTCAATGAATTACTTATATGTGGTCTAAATTGTGGGGCTAGTTTAAGTATAAAAGAATGAGCAGAAAATTCCGTTCTTTTAAAAATGGCTCTTAATAGAGGAGTCGTCTTAATTATGGTTGGTCTTAATTAAGTAGGGATTCTACATAGTACTATTAACGATTAAAGTAAATTTGTGTTCGTCTGTAAAGATTATTCCACTTATTAACCGCTACTCGAAATCTAGTAATAGTTTGCGTCATCGCTAAGGGCTTGTAAGAACGATATTTTAAGACAAAGGGTAATTCGAAAGACATCCAGTTGTACATCGAACATGAGCAAGATAAAAAGGGAGTGGGCTGGAGCTAGGGTACATAATCGTTTGGCATCGTCCGAATAGCTCAATAGGTTGACCGTTTGTGTATGAATAGGGCGACCAAGGTTCAATTCCCGGACGGTGCAGGCACGGATCTTAAGTACATATAATATAAATCCGTGGTGCAGGTCTATGGAGGGTGATTTATGCCAAAATTACATCTTGCTTTCTTACGTTACATCGTGCTTTCTAACTTGTACATCGTGCTTTCTAACTTGTACATTATGCATTCTGACATATACATCTTGCATTCTGACTTTTACATGTTGCTTTCTTACATGCACATTATGCTTTCTGCTGTGTGCGACTTGCTTAATTTTATGTTGATGTCGTTATTTAACGATCAATTATTATTCATTTGTTGTTCTGGTATATTAATTCAATTAATTAACCTGCAACTGTTTGTATTTGGGTCTATTTACTCAGCTTGAATGACGAATGTCATAAGGTAGAATGCGCATAACCGAAAGCCGAATGCAGCAAGCATAATACAACGCGACATCTGGTGTAATAATATGTGACACCCAAATTATGCTAACAGGTGGCGCTACAGTTATATTCTCGGTAAAGTCCGTATTGCGGTTCGGATTCAGTTTACCAAGTTACGTCCCTTTGTTTTAAAATTTCCATTTGCACTCATGGAGAAAATATACAAAACGATTTAATCAATTTTTATATTTATTAATGAAACTCTGTAGGTCAAATTATATTTCCAGCTGACAATAACAAGTTGCACATTTCCAAATCAATGGTTTTAGAATTTATTTGTATTCATCAACAAAATAATTATAAATTATAAAATAGAACAGTTGTTCAACATTGTTCAAAGTGATTGGGCCATAAAGAACTTCGTATTAAATTATTTCATACTCTTGAAAAGTTCTAAATTTTGACATGGCTTATTTCCAATACCTGTGACCATCCACAACATTTTTAATGTGTTTTTATCAATAAGGACATTTTCTTGCCTATTTTCAAACTAATTTTGTACACACGTTAGATTTTTTAAATTCAACTTGTCAAAAAATGTCTTTTTTCACTAAGTTGAAATTATTCACTAAGATGCTTTATGAATACGGCCCAGGTTCTTGTTCACAGTGTCAGCTTAAAACTGAAGAAACTGCTGCCAAAATCAGCTGATTCTGAGAAAGAAAAAAAATAACATGTCAAAACTGTCTAGTCTGTCAGACTAGACAGTTTTGCCCTTTTTTCTTTTGCAGCGGCACGGGCTACCTCTCTTCATTTGAATTTTTATATCACAGGCACCCTCTCATTTTTTAACACATACGTACCCAAAAGGCACGACATATGCTTTTATTTGCGTTAATCGTTAAGTATGTAATATTTACATAAAAGTAAGAAATATTACATACCTATTTAACGATTAACGCAAATAAAAGCATATGTTGTGCCATGAGGGTACGCTGCAAAACCGAAAGTAGGGTGTTTTTATGAATTTTACATTTATTTTTGACAATATACTGGCATTTGTCCGAAGATGATATGTAAATGAACATATTAAATATGTATGATGCATATATAATCAAGCCCACGGTTCATTGCAGCCCGAAAAGTATGTCGAGGTGATGGGCGAGGCAAGACATGTCGATTTTTTGTAGCTTATTGTGAAGTTGCAGTACATGAAAAACGGGCACATGACAAATCAGCACATAAATAAAACATTTTAGTGTTCCGTGGTATATATCTTTTGTACGTGTCAAACCCCCTTTCCTTATTACATTGAAATTTTACTGGATTGTTATCCATCGCTGGTTTGTTTTTAGCAGAGAATGACCTGTGCATGTGTAAAGAGGGTACCGTTTGAGCAGATTTCGCAAAGAGGGTACCGATATAGATATGCGCCGTGGTGTAGCTTTAGGACGAATGATTTCATAATATTAATTGATTAGTACATAAAAACAAAATGTACAAAAATGGTCCCAAGAAATGGTTATAAAATGAATATTGCATGTTTGGCTGAAGATGCCCTTTTAGTAGTTTTCTTTAATTATAGCGTTCATGATATTGGAAATGTATAGCAGATCTTACTCATTTAAAACAAAAAAGTTTTATACCTTAAGCCAATAGTATTTGCAATACAAACACCACTGAGAATGTAGAAAAAAAAGTTTATTAATATCTTCTATGACAAACAATTCATTTGATTTTATAACCATTTCTTGGGACATTTTTTGTACATTTTGTTTTTATGTACTCATCAATTAATATTATGAAATCATTCGTCCTAAAGCTAAACTCTCGATCACAGATTGACAGACTAGACAGTTTTGCCTTTTTTTCACAGAATCAGCTGATTTTGGCAGCAGTTCCTTCAGTTTTAAGCTGACACTGTGAACAAGAACCTGGGGCCGTATTCATAAAGCATCTTAGTGAATAATTTCAACTTCGTGAAAAAAGACATTTTTTTGACAAGTTGAATTTAAAAAATCTAACGTGTGTACAAAATTAGTTTGAAAATAGGCAAGAAAATGTCCTAATTAATAGAAATGCATTAAAAATGTTGTGGATGATCACAGGTATTGGAAATAAGCCATGTCAAAATTTAAGAACTTTTCAAGAGGATGAAATATTTTAATAAGAAGTTTTTTATGGCCAAAGAACTTTGAACAATGTTGAACAACTGTTCTATTTTATAATTATTTTGTTGATGAATAAAAATAAATTCTAAAACCATTGATTTGGAAATGTGCAACTTGTCATTGTCAGCTGGAAATATAATTTGACCTACAGAGTTTCATTAATAAATATAAAAATTGGTTAAATCGTTTTGTATATTTCCTCCATGAGTGCAAATGGAAATTTTAAAACAAAGGGACGTAACTTGGTAAACTGAATCCGAACCGCAATACGGACTTTACCGAGAATATAACTGTAGCGCCACCTGTTAGCATAATTTGGGTGTCACATATTATTACACCAGATGTCGCGTTGTATTATGCTTGCTGCATTCGGCTTTCGGCTATGCGCATTCTACCTTATGACATTCGTCATTCAAGCTGAGTAAATAGACCCAAATAAAAACAGTTGCAGGTTAATTTATTGAATTAATATACCAGATCAACAAATGAATAATAATCGATCGTTAAATAACGACATCAACATAAAATTAAGCAAGTCGCACACAGCAGAAAGCATAATGTGCATGTAAGAAAGCAACATGTAAAGTCAGAATGCAAGATGTATATGTCAGAATGCATAATGTACAAGTTAGAAAGCACGATGTACAAGTTAGAAAGCACGATGTAACGTAAGAAAGCAAGATGTAATTTTGGCATAAATCACCCTCCATACAGGTCGCTTTCGTCATGATTGATCATGAAATCATTTCTACGGTTATGCGCACTGTAACTCTGCTTTGTCATGTACCTTTGTCAGTTCCTTGTAAAAATGAAGGCAACTAATGGTGGTAAACTGCTTGGCAGCCTGCCAAGAAACGACAATACGGTAAAAACACTGTGGCCAACTGCCGTGATCCGGAGTGAAAACAACGCCATTTGGTTCATTTTTGCGCATCAGTAAACAAAAAATTGACATTTAATATGTCAGGTGTACTCTTCTTGTTTTTAGTTTCTACAAGCACAAGTATATCAATATTTGCGCATGCATGCTATTCTTGTCCCCCGAAAACATCTTAGACATGCTGGTGAGATCCTTTTGATTTTCTTTTGGAGATTCCTTTACAGATTATATTTAAAAAAAAAATAAAAAAATATGGTATTAATTTTGGTATCATTACACGAAAACTATATAAGGGGACCCTCTACAAAAATTGTTGAAATTCTAACTCTAATTCTAAAAATATTAACAATACCTAAAAACAGAATATTATTTAACCAAATTAGATATAACAAGTAGATCAATTCCGGTGAGTGATTTAAGACCGCCATGACCAACTTTATTTTCTTGTCGAATCGTCATGAACTTTTCCTACTTCCTTCTCGTGAGAAGAATGAAACTCACCGAATCGTGACGATATTAAACTAAAGTTTTCTTTTTTAAATGTGATTGCTCATCAAATATTGTAACTGAACTATACTATAAATGCATTTAAATTATTTTTTCGTTTTCAGTAAATACAAAGTACTCCCAACTTCAAATCGGAAGTGTTTATTTGTTTATTGCGTCAGAAAAAAACATCGTATGGTCTATTTAATACAATTCATTTAATGACTAGCTATGACAATCAGTCTCTCGCAAGTCGGCATCATGTATGTACATGCCTTTCAATTTATCATCAGCAGCATTTTTCCCTACGATTTTGTTTCCGAAACCTATATTAATAAACATCTTTAAAGACATACATGTAAATCCTTTTTCCATCCACTATTTACAAATTTAGTGTTGCCCTAGAGAGCATTTTTGTAAGCTAATCTCGTATAAAGTAATTAAGGGCTCACTTTTCTTTATAAAATGTCAATTATTTGTTGGGGGTTATTATTTACGAGGGTCTCAATTCTTCGCGAGAGCCATTTTTCGCGCTTAAATGTTATAATATCTTGACCATGGGTCAATATTTTAAAAAGGACCCAATGTTTGGAAACCAGTTTTTTCAAATTTTCTATTTGAAAGACTCTGACGAAACACATGATTATTTCAACATCGATTAGACATAATAATGAAAAAGAAAGCAAATTATTTACCTTCTTTCTTCCGTTTTAAAACTATTCCACGGTGCTTTAATCCACCTCGCAAAGTGTCTTGTTGCTTACTGTCGAGTGTCCTTACATATTTTAAAAAGAGGTTTCGATATTTGATAGGCTTTTTTGTAAAAAACGAACAGCCAAATTCAAATAAAAAACCGACTCTATTGTTATAAACGGTGTAATTATTCATAAACATGTGCGGCTGATATATGTAAATAAAAACTTTTTTACTACTATAGTATGTCTTAACTACAGTACTATATAACAATTTCTTACGCAATTTGTGTTTTGTAAACCACTTTAACTGTTTAAACTTCTCAATTCATGAGCGGATGTATAAATGTAATTATATGAAATTATTATAGACAGAAAAATCGGCACGCCGCAGCCGGTGTAACGTTGTAAACTGACCCCCATAAAAATGACCCCCGGTCAATATCTTATAATAAATAATGAGCCCCGGTCATAATTTTATGACCGTGGAGTCATAATATCATTACTCCCCTACACGTAGAAAAATGACCCTCGCATAGAATAGTGACCCCCTGTAGAGTAATGACCACAACACAAACCATAAAGCCCTTACTGGACTCTTTCATGGAAACACTGTCAATATAATCATCTCAGATGAGAAATATGGTAATGTCACTTGTTCGTGCGTTTGTCCGTGCGACCGTGCAACGGCTGAATCTTTTCACTGCTTTTGGACGGAACTGTTACAAGTTTGAAGCTCAGTCTCAGTCTGCATTTTCTTCAAATGACAACGGCTAGGGATATGTCGTTTGACTGCAGTCCTTGCTTGTTCTTATTAGCTCGACTTTACAAAGAGCTGTCTTACTCGCCCCGACGCTGGCGTCCAGATTTAAGATTAAAGTTTTGGTGCGGTTAAATATTTTTCACTATAACTTTTTCATTTCTTAAGATATCAAATTAAAACTTCGAATGTATGTTCCTTATCATCAACCACATCTTATGTGTTAAGGTTCATAACTCCAGTACCAATATTTTCAGATTTATTTCCCCTTTAACTAAGAATGTTCCTTAAAAATATCAATTTTTACTGTAACTTCTTTATTTCTTTAGGGATCAACTTCATACTTCAAATATAGGTCACATTTTATGTGACAAGGTTCATAACTCTAGCACCAATATTTTTTAGATTTATTTCCCCTTGAACTTAGAATTTTCCTTAAAAATTATCAAATCTTTACTGTTACTTCTTTATTAATTAAGGAATCAGCTTTATACTTCAAATATACGTTTCTTATCATTAACCGCATCTTATGTAACAAGGTACTCTAGCACCAATATTTGAAGAATTATCTCCCCATGAACTTAGATTTTTTTAAATGTTTTTTTTTTTACTTTAACTTCTTTAGTTTTAAAGATATCAAATTAAAACTTCAAATTCATATTTCTTATCATCAACCACATCTTATGTGACAAGGGTCAAAACTATTTAAGCAATATTTTCAGATTTATCTCCTCTTGAACTTTAAATTTATATTTTTAAGATATTTCTTTAAGAAATATTATAACTTTTTTATTTTTTAAGATATCTACTTCAAACTTCAAATGTGTATTTTATCATTTACAACATGTTGTGTGACATGTTCATAACACTAGCGTGAGTATTTCCAGAATAATTCCCCCTTGAACTCAAATTCAAATTAACAAATGCTATTTTTACTATGACTTCTTGTCATATGGATAAGAGTTATAAAGCGCAATCTCCTGTATTCCCAGAATTGTCTCCATTTTATTTTTGAACTAAGAATTCAATTGTAAATTGATTGTAAATTTAGTATTATCTTTGTTATAATAAAAGGTATCTACTCTAGACTTATGATAATTAATTGTTCTTTGACATTACTCACATCATGCATGACAAAGTTCATAACTCTAGCATCTTTTTTCAAGAGCTATTTCCTCTTTGAACTTATAATATTTACTTTAAAAAGAGAAGAACCATAGACGATTTTGTCGATGGAAAACTACAAACGAATTAAGCAGGTGTTTTGTTTGTGTTTTTTTTCCTATATCGTGTTTTTTAATACTATTATTTAAGAAATAGTATATCCCCAATAGTAACTTTATCCCTAGAAAATCACTGTTTGGTGTGTGGATGCGAGGAATTTTATTACAAGGATGTGAGATAATGATGCCCAACTCTGGTGGCTTATTTGTGCAACTCGTGTTTTTGCCCCGCGACCCCGCCAATCGAAAAGTCGACAATAAACAAGTTAAAATGGCGGGGGCGCGTAGCGAAAACACGCTAATTAGCGAAGGCACGGGGCGAAGTTAAATAAATAAAGCTTCGACCCGCGAGGGCGCGGAGCCAGATTAAAGAAATAAACGGCGGGGTCGCGGGACGAAAACACGCTAATTAGCGTGAGCGCTGGGCAAGTTTAATAAATAAAACTTTAGCGTCACCGCTAATTAGCGTGTTCACACCGTACAATCAAATGGGCAGACAGCAGTTCCAACGTCGACAGCTGTACCAGTATATACATATCGGCGCACGAAACACAACTGACGGACGGTAGGTATTCATCTCCCAACTGTGTTGAGTAAATCAATGTTATGAATTCATAGTCAACATCTAAATGAGCATGGCCCTGTGCAAGTTTATCTTCACGTGGATTTTGTCTGAAAATAACCACACTATCCGATGAGATGTAGCATTTTTATTTTTAAATCACAAAAACTTATATTTTCTCATGATAATAAATCCTCTTATCATACGATTCGTAAACGTCAACATTTCGTCATTCGAGCTGTCTAGCTCGACATAAGCAATTTTTGAATGTCTAGCTGATTATTGATTCTCAAGCTCAACATTCATTTTGAGAAAACTTCGATCATTATTACAGATCGAATGTTGAGCTGAATGTCGATTGTCTAGCTCGACAAAAGGAATTTCTGAATGTCTAGCTGATTGTTGATTGTCAAGTGCAACATTCATTTTGCGAATACTTTGATTATTATTACAGATCGAATGTTGAGCTTAATGTCGACTGTCTAGCTCGACATAAGAATTTTTCGAAAACCTAGCTGATTGTTGATTGTCTAGCTCAATATTTACTTTGAGAAAAATTTGTTCATGATTACAGATCGAATGTCTAGCTCAATGTTGTTTGTCTAGCTCGACATAAGGAATTACTGAATGACTGTGTAGCTGATTGTTGATTGTCTAGCTCAAAATTCACTTTAAGAAAACCTCGATCATTTTTATAGATCAAATGTTGAGCTGAATGTCGATTTTCTAACTCGACATAAGTATTTTTTGAATGTCTAGCTGATTGTTGATTGTCTAGCTCAAAATTCACTTTAAGAAAACCTCGATCATTTTTATATATCAAATGTTGAGATGAATGTTGATTGTCTAGCTCGACATAAGGAATTTCTGAATGACTGTGTAGCTGATTGTTGATTGTCTAGCTCAACATTCACTTAAATAAAAAACAGACTTCAACTATTCATTCACGCAATGATTTTCAGAAGGAAAAAAATCTTCTGATCATCAAACACTAAAAATTAATTTACCAACTGTAAATTGTATATGATATTCAATAAAATCTTCTTTTAGAAAAACAAGCTTGCGTATTATTGTTTTAGGCAACTCATTTTTAAAATGCTGTACGGCTAGCCTCAACAGCGAATATATGCTTGTCGTATGTGACACCCGTACAGCCAGCACTTTTGTCAAACAATACTAGTTAATACTGCTAGCCGCTGCCATTGTAAATTATTCCTTCCTCTACCAACTCACATACTTCCATCAACAAAAATTATGAATACTATTAGTATAATAATCAAATAGATGTTAGACAATAAAAGTAATGATGACTAAATATGATATATATAAAATTTCGCTGCTAAAGACAAGTTGTTTTTATTGATTGTTTGTATCAACAAAGATAATTAATTAGGTAAGTTTCATCACCGTATGATGACTTAAATTTTTGTTTAAAGTGAAAAATTATTCTGAATATAACAAACTGTTATATTTATTAATATAATCAGTTATCTTACTATTATTGACCTGTGGTTTTGAATTTTTTGACCTGTGGTTTTGAATTTTAATACAGCTACTATTTTCATATAAATGTCTATAACTTTACAAATAAAAAATCTATAAAATTATGGACTGACCATAAATATCATCTGATGAATGCAAAACTGTGAAATTCAGATCTACATGTATGAAATACGTAGATTTGAACTTTATTCATATTGTATAACAATTGTAATTATAACCAGTCCTTTAAAATTTTGGGACGAGTTAGACAAATGCTGAGTCTGTTGAAACGGACTTCTTTCACACTATTTTATGCATCATTAATCACTAAAGGAAAATACAAAGGATAAAGTAATTGTTATACCAGATTGAATTATTTTTCAAGGTATAGTGAAATATAAACAATGAATATCATACAGTCGTATTCCACAGTGAACAAAATTTTGCAATGTTTAACTGCTTACCTTGTCGACATGGTGATTACACAAATACGGGAAAATTACGTACATGAGAAAATAGTATGTATTCATATTTCATACGCATTATACAAAGTTCTTACAATATATTTGCACTTTTGAAGCATTTTAAAGCTTATCGGATTTGAAAAAAAACAAAACATATTGCAATATTTTGTTAGTTGTTGCGTTTTATGATAGTAAGTTCACTTATGAGTACTATATTTATGCACGTTCTTTGACTCTCATTGATAGGATTTAACTCATTACAGGACTGGGGCAGTACCTCCAGTCACTTGCAAAAATCATGCTTACAAAATAGAAAAATATCATTTTTCGCCGATTATTATATTTTTCCTGTATACCATGGCAAAGTTTTGGACCTATTTTGTCGAGCTTAGATAGCTAATAGAGATGTATTCAAAAGGTAGTTAAGCATCCCAAAAATGTAATAATAATTTAAGTAATTAAGAAAATATCTTTCCACATTTATGAATTAGTCCAGATATTAATCAGTTCACTTAATTATGTGGTTTCAACAATTTATGTACGTATTTTGACTTTCATGCATCGGGAACCAGAAGGTAGAAAAAATAAACTGGTTCTCTTTAAATTTTTATCGCCTTCTGGCGTAGTAATATTCAAATCGCGTAAAGCAATAATATATGTAATTTTGTGATAAAATGAATTAAAATTTAGCAATAAAATGACCAGTCATTATTGAAATAGATAAAGTATTATGATTATATGAATATTATAGCAAAATATAGGAATTATTTTTGCTCCGCGCAGATAGCCTTAATGCGTTCAAACCATAGTAAGCTGAATTTATCGTAATTACACTTGGGACTTGCGCCCCCAAAAAATGACTCAAGATTGTTATGAGTTTGCCGTTCTCATTTTATATATGTGATAAATAGAATATTATATTCGTGTAGATTCAATACTAAATTTATTGAACTCGTTGAACTCGTTGAATAACACAATATGCTCGCCAGAGGCTCGAATAATATTATTTTATTCAACTCGTTCAATAAAGTTAGTATAAAACCTACACTCATTCAATATCCTCGATTCTATATGTTCAATAGGGAACAATCCGGGTTGTGTTAAAATGTCGAACCAATCATTTTTGCACATTTGTAGTTGGTTTGTTTCTACACATAATGTAAATGATCAGTCATTTATCTTGAATTATGCTGAATGCAAATCAGTGTAAAACTTCCTGTTCTCAAGTAGCTCTATGTTAATGAAATAGAAGAACATTAGTTAAAATGAAATGTAACGAAGCTAAACAACTAAATATGTGTTTAAAACGACTTTTCCGGGATCCGGACATTTACGAAACGAACGCTATATCACTAACTAAAAATATTGGTACTGAAGTTATGCCTTTACGCACTAAGCATATAATATATAGAAAATTCGTAGAAAAATCAGGTGATAAATGTTCGCTTCATATGCACGGTATGTATAACATTTAGTTCTAAAATTAAGTGAAAAGAACTGATTTCAGTCAAAAAACCTATTTACCAATAAAAAGCTGATGGCCTATATATTGCTGAAATGCCTAAATGAAGGCAAAATATGAATTAAAAAAAAGATTGCTTTGCTCTGGGCTTTGAACTCATTCTTAGAATCTTTACCGAAACTCTGTGTTCACACTGAAAATGAACACTCTTTCAAATAGGAGAATTTGCATTAAGCATTTAAAAAGTTTAAATTTTATTTTTATCAGATGTTCGCTTATTCTTAGCGGGATCTCTGAATTTTACCTTTGTTTTGCCAGCTGTTATCGCAGCAGTAGCAGCAGCTTTACCAGAAGCAGCAACAGGCACAACAACAGCAACAACACGTATACGCAATTGAAATATGACATTGACTTTACAGATTATACTAGGTAGGGTCAATATTCTATAGATAAAATAGGTCATTTTTATATACTAGTATAAGGGGTCACTATCTTATAGTAGAAGGGGTCACTATTTTATATAAAATAGTGACCGGGGATCATTATTCTATGGGGGTCACTTTACAACGTTACAACGGCCAGTTCAGTATGCATATGTTGCTGTTTTAACTTTAATAGTTGATCTGTGTAAGAAAAACAAATTTTGTGTTGTGGAGTTTTTGGACCTCGTTGGAGTTTCTTTTATCATTCACATTATCATATAATCTTAATTTAACTGATTTTCATTTACAAGTCGGTAAAAAGGGTAAAATTTTAAGGGTGTTTTAAATTAAAAGGATGCGTCCATTGAATGCTGCTCTTTGTCGATCTTGTTTTTTATATTTTTACTTTTTTCTACTGTTATAATTAAAATCGGACAAAATATTAAAGAACAAAATATGCATCTTTAACTGAACAAATGTTACATGAATTCCGTGTGACCTGTATTTTCATAAACCATCACTTAAATCAATTGAATTTCTTTTTTTTATCTTCTAATGTATTTCAGTTTCCAGTCTACTTAATACTGTTTTGGCGGAATGGTTCAAGATAAAATACATAGAGTCTTTGGTACTCATTTAGCGAAATTATCTATAAAGTCTTACGAGAACGTAATCAAGTATAGATTTAAAACGATGTTTACAGCACAAATCAAAATTTAATTCCGTTCGAAGTGACGCCCTGACGTCAGACATCAACGTTATTATTACGTCATATATTTACGTCATAACGTTAGCAACAACGTTACGCTTGGAGGAACATTTGTCCAGCAAGTTTTCAACAAGGTAACTCAATATTAATTAATTTAAAAATTAACAACACAGTATACTGTGAATCAAATTATCAAATAGATACATAATGCGTATATATACTTGTATGCCAAATACATAATTATTAGACTCGATCTATTCTGATACCTCGTGAAATTCAAGAAGAACGTGTATCACAAAGGCTGATACTAGATTTTCTACAACAACAATAATAATAATAATAATAACAACAACAATAATAATAATAATAATAATAATAATTATAATATAATAATAATAAACAATTTATTTCATGTTAAAATTGTTTAAAAAACAGTTTTATAGTTGTAACAGATGTCCAATTCGTGTTTAAATATTAAAATATTTTTGATAAAGTGTTTAACATTGGGCGTAACACGTTGGGGGCAGGATCTGACCCCCAATCGTCTACAGGTACTTATTCATGTAGTAGGTTTTCCACCTTTCTATAACTTTAATTTTGATAGTGGATTTTCTTTTATAATTTTATCGGTGGTTTTGTATTTGGTATCTTATAGTAAGCCTTAGAGTGTTGAATTATTGTTTCAGGGTTGAGCAGGGGTCCAGGGGCAGAGTGTGGGTAGGTTGCCCAAACACTGATACTGCCACCTGTGGTCTTTTTCGGATTTATTGTCATGTTGTTCAGTTTACACCTATTATCAATATCACATCCAGGGTTCCCTGAATCACTTCATTTTTTTATTTGATACAAATGGCATATTATTAACGTAGAAAATGAAAAAGTAAAGGGCCTAATACAAACCCTTGAGGGAGCCCTGATTTCACTGTTCCATTATTTGAATGATTATTTCCATATTTGACAAAATGTGTTCTATTTTCAAGATATTATTTGAAGAGTTTTATTAAGGTGTTTGAGAAGTTTAACTATAAAACAATATGTTGTGATATATCAAATCAAATGCCTTCTTTAGGTCTAAAATTACTGTGCCTATTAAACAACCCTCATATATATCATTAAGGAAGGATTCTATGAGTCGTATTAATTAAAACTGTTTGACAAGAATGATTTTTTTCTGAATTTACCCGATTGACTTTCAAAGAGCCTGATAATGGTTAAAGCATCTATCCATGCCACCATTTTAAACAAAAATCCTCCGGCATATCAGCGTTCGCTATTAAGTCAGTACATATTAGCCGGGGTAAAGGATAAATTATTATACAGGCTCTATCTTACAAACCTTTTCTTCATTAAGCTGAAATGTCAAAGCATCTGTATTACAATGTGATTATGTCATAAAACACCTTAGATTGACTTTCTATTTTTATATAAACATAATGATACATCGATCGATGTCCTTTTGCAGTTTATAATTTTATATCAGATTTCAGAAATCCAAAGGCCAATATGCATATAGTCTCGTATAATTTTAGAAAGAAATGGCAACGAGTATTGTATACTATAACAGTATCTTCTTAATTATATTTAGTATGTAATTTGTGTTTCCAATGAGTGTGACAGAGACTAAAATGAACAATTCTTCAATCATGGCTAATAAATAACGCTATGGGAATTTAGTTTTCATGTAGACAAAAATAAGTCCAAGAAAATACTGTTGCAGTCAAACCATTTAAATGTGGAAGAATAAAACAAGTTCATTACAATCTAAATTTTGTTTTACGTCATGGTCAAGAATGATATTCTTATACATTATCTAGCATTTATCTTTTTTGCTTTGTTGAGATAAATATAAACTGATTTTTCTTCGCAAATAATAAAAATCTATAGATAAATGACAGGGCAGATGACTTTATCAGACAACAAAATATACAATCTAAAATGTAGCTCACGAAAAGATTATGTATTATGAACAAAACCTAAAACAAATTATGTTAAAGATACATTTTCTTATCATGGCACAAACGTTTGGAACAGTTTACCTTAAAATATTCGCAATGTTGACAATCTTAAGTGTTTTAAAGAAAAATACAAAACATATCTTAAAATGAATAAATGAATGTGTGAATGAATGTGAGTGAATGAGTGAGTGAGTGAGTGAGCGAGTGAGTGAACGAATGAATGATGTATATACAATACCGGTATGTTTAAACGAATTGTTGAGTGTCTGCCAAAAGTATATGAATGTCAACCACTTATAATTTAATTAATCAAACAAATTGAGTTACCGTATTCTAGAAAATATACATAATTATTTTACATGTTTTTAAAGTTCCTAAATGCATGTTCTGTTGTTGATGTTTTTCCATTTCAGAAGGCCACATTGGAAATAAGATATATATGATTGCTGTTGTATATTCTAATATGTTACCTTCTCTAAATAAAGATATTATCATTATTATTATTATTATTATAAATGCCCGTTGTTATTATTATTATAATGCCCGCTATTGTAAAAAAATTGTCTAATTTAAGTTGTCTAAAACTGTTTTCATTTCTATCTTTCTTTTTTCTTTAACCACACAAAAATTAAAAATGTTCAACCACTATACATTGGTGGTAAAAATATCATATAATTTTTATTTATACTACAATGTATTCAATCATGAAACATCTCATTTAGTGTAAAAGTAATCTGTTAGTTTATTTGAAACATAAAAGTTAGCTTGTGAAATTTGTTGAAGGGTTGAAGGGTTATATTTCGTTTTGTTTCCTGTCACAAGGTCGTAAAACATTTTGTTCTACTTTCAGAAGCCAAATTGTCTAAATCAGTAACAACCCGTATTTTTCCGGACACGGTTTGGGTTCGGAAACCTGTGATCACCGCACGAAACAAAATCTGGTTCCCACACAGAGGCTGTAAGAATCTTCTTCTTCCGCGTCGTGTACATGACTGTCAGGAACCAGCAAATAAATATATAAACGCAACTGTAAACTCGTTATCTAAGGAACCAATCAAGATTGGAACATCCGTGGACACAGGAATGGAAGAGTTTTCAAATAATCTACCAGGTTGCGATGCGGATCTTAACGTGAATGTCTAGAGGGTTACAAGCAATATGTTTGACACAGAAAATGGTAAATTGATAAAAGAAAAAAAATACATAGGTTTCAAGGTTGTATTTATAACTATATAAAAGATGCTGAAGATGAACTGGAGAGTGATCAAGTCAATAAAGACGCTGCTGTCAATAACGAAACGGAGGATGGTAATACTCTTGCAGTAAATAACGAAACGGATATTACACGTTTAAACAAACAAGACACGGATGATATATCTAACAAAGAAAAAAGAAATGAACTATCATTTAGTATATGCACTGATGACATAGACTATAGTATTGAAAAGTTGGCCAATAATTTAACACATCATGCATTTTGGAAATACAACAAAAACAATAATTCCCTGTGTGACAATAACGCTCGTAATTTGCTAGCAAGCGTTGCCCCGACGTATATCATGAAAATGCCCAGAACTCAACGAAGATTTAAAACCATTCGATATATTCCGGTCACAGATACAGAACACGTATATCATGAACATCCAGAAAAAATGTAATCGTTCCAAGTTCAAGCAGTTATGCTCATATAAGAAAGAAAATAAATCCACCTAGAAAATCAGGCTGGTTGACTTACTTGGTATCTTGGTCGTGTAAACTTGGCGCTGTAGGGATGATGGTCATATTTTGTTTTTGTTTGTTCGAGAAGTACAAAGATATACGATTATACATGTAATATTGAGGTTAAAAAATATTTGAATATCATTCTTCATGTTCTTTATTCATCAACTTATATTCCATTTGTGACATATGCAAGATAAAAAATGTTTGGCAATATTAAGCCGGGGTCATTTAACTGTCCAGTTAACTTTCCTTGGCAATTATTCGTTTCAAAAGTAATGAATACGGTTAAGGAAGTATGCTATTCGTATAGATATGAAACATGTTCGCGTAGCACCTTCTTATAGCCCCAAAGGCAATATGCTCAGTATGAATATAAAAGATGGAGGTTCTTATCTAGCTCGTGAATATTTTTCAGTTCTTGTACAATGGTTTGATAAGAGACTTAAAACTTACCGCAACGTCATTTCAAGCCCCATGTAATAATCAAAGCAGAGAATGCGCTGAATTTGGTTGGGTCTCAGAATGTCAGAAAGTTGAAGGTTGTGAGATTATAAAACAATTTGTTTTTGTAAAGTGCCACCAATACTTTCTAGTGTTTTAATTGTAGTAGATTTGCTATAAGACTAATTGCAACACTGATATTCAATCCAATGTTTATTTTACTTCAACAATTTGAAAAAAAAAATTATATGCCTTAACTGGGATTTGAACTCCAGACCTCTCGCTTCCTTAGCGAGCGCGCAAACCCCTCGGCTACGGTGAATTTATGGATTTTCGGTCTGAAGAAAACCATATTATTCTAAATTAGGGTTGGTAACGACGCTTACTGTTGTTTAACACTTATGTAAATAATCATGGCGCTTACTATAAGCATGTTTAACTATAAAGAATAAAACAATATTAGAAATCTTCGACCATTCGGAAAAATTTTGCTTGAAAATTAATGCGCCTGTCATGTGACCATATTTACGCAGTGATCTCCCCTGAATTTTTCGGCCTTAGTGTTACATATAAAGGGAAGTAACCGCTTCAAAAAAGCGGACTACTTTCGGCATTTGCAATTAACAGCAATAGTTTTAAATTTCGCTACCATTATTTGTTTGGTCTGACGACCCAAACAAATAAAAAACAACAACACAAAAATAATTTGATAGATGTCCAATTGTTTAGTTTCATTCAGAGTGAAATAATGTTTGTTTCCCAAAATTTGACATAGAAATTAAGATATTTGCATATGAAATTGACCTACAAATGAGTGGCAATCAGTTTATAAAAAACAGAAAACGGTCACAATGCAACTCAGCCATATTTACAACCAGTATACAAAACCACATGTACATGTGCTAAATCTTTATTGCACGTGCAAATCGTGCGAATATAGACTGTTGGTTAGAAAAATCAATAGTCTTTCCAGGGTATATTATACATGTACTTTCACATGCAAATCATCGTTAAAAATCGAGCAAGTTATTGTCACTAATTAAAATATGCCTCTCCTACATGTATGTACATTTTAGAAATATGATATGTTTTTTTAAATCTTGACACAGGACAATACAACATAATATACATGAATAATGACAATGAACTCAACTCTTAAACAGATAATATTAAATTTGAGCATAGAATATGCTTAAGAAATACCATGACCTAAGGCATTTAAGCTTCAGCTTAAACGGGGCTTATCAAATTAATATGAGCAAACTTGATAAAAAAATTCCTAAGAATGCTACAAAGTTTGGTGATCATCAATTATTTCAGTAGGAAATGATGTTCGAGCTTAAATGGGCCCTAAAAGGGGCTAATCAAATGTGAGCAAACTTGATAAAAAGACTACCCAATAATGCTACAGACAAAGTTTGGTGATCATCCATTAATTAGTTCTGTAGCAATAGACATTTTAAGGTATTTCTATTTTTAGCTTTTGCGGCCCCTAACAAGAGCTGTCGGTAGGACGGCCACGCTCGACTATTCTTAGTGCTTGATAGTAAAAAAGCCTTGATTAAAAGGTAAATTATCTCAGTATAAAAGAAAAAGGCAAAATTTTTCTTTAAACCAATAATACAGTTAAAGGCATTGGAGAGAGTCCTATTATGCTGTCAAAGTAGAGTATAAAATTTCAACATGTTTCAAAGCCTTATGAATTTTGAAAATATTTGAGGTATTACAAAAACTTTAACGTAAATATTCTAAGTCGAAAAATGGGCATAATTCTGTCAAAATGCTTGAAAGAGATACCTCCTCCTGTTTACAGGTTGGGGTCATGATGGTGAACAAATGTGCAAAGTTTCAAAGCCATATGTCAATGGACTTTGAAATATTTGAGGTATTAAAAAAACTTTAACATAATATCTAAGTCGAAAAAGGGGCATAATTCTGTCAAAATGCTTGATAAAGTTTCCTCCTCCTGTCTACAGGTTGGGGTCATGATGGTGAACAAGTGTGCAAAGTTTCAAAGCCATATGTCAATTGACTTTGAAATATTTGAGGTATTACAAAAACTTGAACATAAGTGGTTACGCCGACGCCGACGCTCGGGTGACTACAATAGCTCTACTTATTCTTATCGAGTAGTCGAGCTAAAAAGGGCCAATCAAAATAATATGAGCAAACTTGATAAAGGACTACCCATCAATGCTACAGACAAAGTTTGGTGATCATCAATCCATTAGTTCTGTAGAAATAGACATTTAACGGTATTTCTATTTTTAGCTTAAGCGGCCCCTAAAAGGGGCCAATCAAAATAATATTAGCAAACTTGATAAAAAAAAACTACCTAAGAATGCTACAGACAAAGTTTGGTGATCATCAATTAATTAGTTCTGTAGAAATAGACGTTTAAAGGTTTTCTATTTTTAGCTTTAGCGGCCCCTAAAAGAGGCCAATCAAATTCATATGAGCAAACTTGATAAAAGACTTCCCAAGAATGTTACAGACAAAGTTTGGTGATCATCCATCCATTAGTTCTGTAGAAGAAGATGTTTAAAGGTTTTTCTATTTCTAGCTTTGCTGACCCCTCAAAGGGACCAATTGGAATGGCATGAGCAAATTAAGTGTGACTGTCACACGGATGCTACAGACAAAATTTGAAGAAAATCTGCTTAGTTGTTTCAGAGAAGAATACGATTGTTGACGCATGACGACGGACGCCGGAGCACCCCCTTTTGATACTTATAGCTCACCCTGAGCCTTTGACTCTGGTGAGCTAAAAACCTTAGATGCTTGCCAGCGTTAAGCAGAAAATAACTGATTAAAGTCTAAATCTCTCCATGTCATTAAACAAAGAAAAAAAGTCTCCAGACTAATAAAACCAAACCTACTTATTAAAAAAAAAATAATAATCATTAAACTATTTTATAGAAATAATACAATTTAGTGTTACAAGTTATTTTTGTCCAATAAGATTGCAGTATTTCAAATGAATTCTAACAAATTTACTTTAGTTAATAAGCAAACTATAAATCATTTTAGTAAATTGACAGTTGATAAAATAATAAAATCAAAGCACAGAAGGCGCTGAATTTGTTGGGTCTCAGAATGTCAGAAAGGTGAAGGTTGTGAGATTATAAACCAATTTGTTTTTGTATAGTGCCACCAATGCTGTTTCCAGTGTTTTAACTGTAGTAAATTGGCTATAAGAACACTGATTTTCAATTCAACGTTTATTTGACTTAAACAATTTTTTTTAAAAAATGAGTTGCCTTAACTGGGATTTGAACTCCAGACATCTCACTTCATAAGCGAATATGTAAACCACTCGACCACGGTGAAGTTATATGTTAACGGCCTGAAGAAACCCACATTAGTTATTCTAAATTAGCGTTTGTAACCCTTATTAATTTCGATATATTTTGTTCACAGTAAACCTGTTGTTTTACACTGATGTAAATAATCATTAAGCTTAATATAAGCATACATATCTATAAAGAATAACGCAATATTAGAAATGTTCGACCATTCGGGAACTATTCCCCCTTCCCCCCCCCCCCCAAGAAAGCTTGAAAATTAATGCTTCTGTCATTTGACAATCTTTACGCAGGGATCTCCCTTTAATTTTTCGGCGTTAGTGTACATATAAAGGGAGGTAACTGCTTCAAGGAGATTGGATTTCTTTCGGTTTTGCAAATAAGCACATTAGGGTCTGAAATTTTGCTACCATAATTTGTTATGTCTCATGACCCAAACAAATAAAAAAAATAACACTTTATTGGTTGGTTCCAATCTAAACCACTTTAAATAGGTAAATGCTTACTAATGAACCCTAGCCCTTACAAAAAATATACGTACATTTTTTTTTTAATTTTCAACCATATCAATGACAAATCTTCATTTTGTTATATCTCTTTTCATGTCATTTATCATCTTCGCTTTTATTTTGTTCACCTGAAAATTATTTCAAATTTTACAAAATAAAAGTTAAATTCTTTAGACCAAAAGAAGCTATAAGAAACGTAATATACATGACTTTGTTTGCCATGAGAAAATACATGCCTGAAAACTTATCTTTCTCTGTTTATCTCCCAAATATTCATCGGCAAACCAGTCTTGTAAATCTTTCAATGAAAGCTTCTTTAAAACAGCTATCTGAAAAAATGAATAATTTAAATATTTATTTCATTTCGCTCATATATAATAAGAATGACAATTTTTGGATGTGGTATTTATCAATATCGGACGGTTTAAAGATGTGTAATGATCAAAACTAACCGCCACAAATCTCTTTTTTTAACTGTTGCAAGCTAATTAATCTAGCGATCCCACAAAAATACGTATCACGATAGTTTATTACAACCATAAAGAAAGTGCTGACTTTTTAAGAATGGCACGTTAAGTCACTGTCATATTCTGAATTTCTATCGTACTTTTTATTGTTCCACAGTATATGTCAGAATAAGTGTAATCACAATTTTTAATATCTTTCTTGTACCTGTTTTGCATACAATGATTAATTTCTCAAAAATCAAAAACATGACTGCAATATGAACCGAATACCCCTTCTTAGTTTTAGACGCATGCAATTCAATTTCTGGGACAAAAATTAGGTTTTTCAAACATTTACACAAACTGGCACCTGATAAATCAAAGGTAACAGCATATAGACCATGTACTATACAGCTCACCTCTTTTTCTAGCCGATCAAAGACGTAAGTTTGATCAACAATCTCTAGCCAATGTCTAGAGGTTTCCTCTTCTAGCTGAGTATACTCTGTCCTTTTCAATGTAATCTCAGATTCTATCTACAAATAAATATAAAATAAAGAATGAATATCTATCTTATTACATATTGGTTGATGTTCTTTTCTGTATTTTCATATATACATCTGGAAATAAGTTAAGCACACCCCGGAAATTTAAAATTGGTTGTGATTGAAATCACTGTCATGAGATGATAACTTAATTGAGCTAATAAATAGTAATTTGATAAGAAGCGATACCTATTTAATAATCATTAACCAGTAAATTTATGAGTTTAGTTTATTCTTAACCAAACTAGAACTGCCACTATCATGGCGTGAATACCCCCGCATACCACTTTGTCAGAATCAACAGTGGCCATTTAGAGCTCAAGGACAACCTCCCTTTTAAATCTGAGGTTACTAAGCCAGTGCATTGCTAAGTTATGTATTCTACATGCTTCAAATGTGAAAATGTCAAAATCATTACATTGCGGACAGGACATTCTTTAGCAATTGAGAAGAAAAGCTTTTTTTGTCAAGGTCCCTGTGACCTTGACCTTTGACCCAGTGACCTCAAAATCAATAGGGGTCACCTTATAGTCATGATCAACATCCATGCCAAATATGAAGACTGTGGGTCAAAGGAATCTTAAGTTAATGGGTGGACAAACTTTTTGAAGTCAAAGTCCCTATGACCTTGACCTTTGATCCAGTGACCTCAAAATCAAAAAGGGTAATCTACTAATCATGATCAACATCCATGCCAAATATGAACACTGTGGGTCAAAGGAATCTAAAGTTATTGGGCAGATAAACTTTTTGAAGTCAAAGTCCCTGTGACCTTGACCTTTGACCTGGTGACCTCAAAATCAATAGGGGTCATCTACTAATTATGACGTACGTCCATTCCAAATATGAAGACTGTGGGTCAAAGGAATCTTAAGTTATTGGGCGGACAAGTCTTTTGAAGTCAAGGCCCCTGTGACCTTGACCTTTGACCTGGTGACCTCAAAAACAATTGGGGTCATCTACTAATCATGACTAGTCTCCATGCCAAATATGAAGACTGTGGGTCAAAGCAATCTTAAGTTATAGGGCGGACAAGCTTTTTGAAGTCAAGGTCCCTGTGATCTTGACATTTGACCTGGTGACCTCAAAGTCAATAGGGGTCATCTACTAATCATGACTAACCTCCATGCCAAATATGAAGACTATGGGTCAAAGGAATCTTAAGTTATTGGGCGGACAAGCTTTTTGAAGTCAAGGCCCCTGTGACCTTGACCATTGACCTGGTGACCTCAAAATCAATAGGGGTCATCTACTTATCATGACTAACCTCCCTGCCCAATATGAAGACTAAGGGTCAAAGGAATCTTAAGTTATTGGGCGGACAAGCTTTTTGAAGTCAAGGCCCCTGTGACCTTGACCTTTGACCTGGTGACCTCAAAATCAATAGGGGTCATCTACTTATCATGTCTAATCTCCATGCCAAATATGACGACTGTAGGTCAAAGGAATCTTAAGTTATTGGGCGGACAAGCTTTTTGAAGTCAAGGCCCCTGTGACCTTGACCTTTGACCTGGTGACCTCAAAATCAATAGGGGTCATCTACTAATCATGTCTAACCTCCATGCAAAATATGGCGACTGTAGGTCAAAGGAATCTTAAGTTATTGGGCGGACAAGCTTTTTGAAGTCAAGGCCCCTGTGACCTTGACCTTTGACCTGGTGACCTCAAAATCAATAGGGGTCATCTACTAATCATGGCTAACCTCCATGCCAAATATGAAGACTAAGGGTCAAAGGAATCTTAAGTTATTGGGCGGTCAAGAAAAACCCGACGGACGGACGGACAAGCTGATTCCAGTATACCCCCCTTACAACTTTGTTGTGCGGGGGTATAATTATTGAAGCATAAGCATGTGTGTTGTTTTTTTAAAAAAATGGAAGTGTTTATAAGTATGGTGTTGGAGCGTTAACAAAACATTTACTGGTAGATATTTTTAGTAAATGTTGACAAATACGTAACCTAAACTTACATTATGTAGCTAAATTTTTAATAACGTTAAATAAAATTTAAAATTTCAGTTGTTGTCATGTCAAAATTGAGGCTCCCGGGTGTGCTTAACTTATTTCCAGGTGTATATATTGATATCCAGGGAGTTGAATCTTTACACTAATTGTTATCAATTACCGGTATATACGATCATTTTTCAACTTTCCATACTTTATTCTCCAGAATAATGATTTCCTTTTTTTTTTCTTTATTTTATCTTTCTTTAGTCTAGTTTAAAGTTGCACTGACACTGATAAAGATCATACAGTGATTTCCAGTTTTACTTGTGGAGGATGACCTAAGGTGCCCCTCTGGACACTATTTCAGGCAAAGAATCAAGCTGACTCTCCCTAAACAATTTCAAACCTTGTCTCTCCCTCGCTCCCTCCCTCTCTAAGTTTATAAGAATACATAAGGCAACAATGAAGAACATTTCATAAATTACCAAGGTCTCAAATTCTTCCTGGGTCATACATTGCAGGATATCTTTCATCTTCAGAAGGAATTTCTCTATCTGTTCATCGACATATTGCATACTGAAAAAAATTATCTCATATTGTAAATTACAGTCTAACGGCAAGACTAGAATTTTGAAAAAAGTGAATTCTAAAGATGTTCACAAGGTAAATTGCTTACGAAATGCTTACAAGTGTGTAAAAAATTAACCGATTCCTTTCAGTAGTTTTGGATGCAAAAACTTAACCAGACACCGATGCTTGGATAAGTACAACAGTTTCTCTTATTATATGAAAAGTCCTGCTAGAAACAAGTGAAATATTTTCAAAGAAATACATGTAGTCATGACTGAACAGTACATATAGTGCTAAAAAAACAAGGGACATAACTCTGAAATAAACTTTCACAGCCATTTAGGCCAGCCAATTATGTGAACAGCTATTTTTACTAATAACACAACATTTAAAGTTTCATACGATTGCAGCAGGACTATTAGAGAAGTACAAGCAAGACTGCATTCACAAACATAGTGGCATATAGTCAGGTAATTTTCTGGGATTTAACTTATTACATGATTGGAGCAGTACCTCTAGAGGCTTGCAGAAAATAGACAAATATCTTTTTTTCCCAAATTATAACATTTTTCATTTATTCTCATACATACATGCGTGTGAAAAGATGAATTAGACGTTTTAAAATTCATTCCATTTAGTAAAAAGGCAAGACTTTTTAGTATTTTATCATTCAAGTATTTTATTATTCAAGCGCCTTGTCCGGAATATACCAGAATACAGGATTTAGTGTGGTGCTCCAATCCTTTTTTTAGATTCACTCAATTTTCTGTTGACCCTCATCACTTTAACTGTTAAAGAAACAACATGGCGGCATTGATACCTGAATTTCTGAGCTTTGCATTCCACGCATATCCCCAGAGCAATGACACCACATCTCATATGGTTAGTACAACTTACACTGTAACCCAATTGTTGTTTTGTACGTAATGTGTTAAAACATGGCTCTGTCATACGTGTCTGCAATATAATGTACATAAACAACCTATAAAAATTATAAATTTGTTGATAAAACAACTGTAGCAGATTTTTTTAACCTTTTCCGTTTAATTTCCTTTTAACTTTTACTACATTGAAGACAACAAAATTCACTTTTAAATTCAGATTTTATTTTCACTTTTACATCCAACTATACTTTTTAATCACCTTTTAACGACCTTTTTTAACACTTCTATACTTCTACGCTTCTACCAAAATAAAGATTGTAATTCACTTATATAGTGTTTCTTCCCGCCAATTTAAAGAGTCATGAATATCATGATATGGAGTAATTCATAAGTGAAATAAATTCCCGCCAATACCAAAATACACAATTCATAAGTTTTGGAGTAAAAGAAATATAATATTTTCCCGCCAAATACGAACATACACAATTCATAACTTTTGGAGTAAAAGAAATATAATATTTTCCCGCCAAATACAAACATACACAATTCATAACTTTTGGAGTAAAAGAAATATAATATTTTCCCGCCAAATACAAACAGACATAATTCTCATGATTAGGAGTAAAACAAAATCGTGTAATTCACGACACTCCGGCCAACAAAAATTAAAATATGATATCTTTCACTAAAATAGTACATATTAAAATTGCTCTTTAAATATTCTAAAAATGCAAGAATGGAAACAATCTTCTTCTTAGAAAATTAAACTCATACTTGCGCAAATAAATTTAAACAAATAGTCATAATGGCAAACATATTTTTAAACATAATGAACGAAACATACTCCTGTTTTCTTAAACAAATCTTTCAATTTATAAACATTTACAATATCTGTTTCAAAGCAATGTATGTATGTAACATTTTAATGCATATAAATAGTTCAACTTGTTTCAGTAGGTTTTTTTTTATATAAATGTCTAAGCAACATACGATATAGAACATCCCTTGTTCTGTTGAACTAAAAGTCAGTACCTCAGTACATTATTATTCATTTATTGCATTGTACGTATAGCAATGGTAATCGTCTTCATATTCAACGCGACAAAACACAGGTTCTTCCCCTCTATATGTAGTATAATATTGCTCCAAATTATTCGCGCGTAAAATCACCATGTGTTATAACTATGCTCCAAATTATTAGCGCGTACAGTCATGTGATATGAAATAATTCGTCTCCTATTTTATTCGTACAATATTTTCAAGGATAAAATAATATTATTCTTATTGTTTTGTAATTCGTGCATAAATATATTCACACTCTATTTTTCAAAAATAAATACTGTTCATACACGCGTATGCGGATTTCCCCAACAACACAAAAGTATTGTCTTTAAATACCTATGGATTGTTAATTACTTAAGAAGATTTTTAAGGCGTAATTTCGCTAAATTTGCTACCTTTCTCTCGAAACGTATACCAGTTTTTTCTTTGCTTTTGGTCTTATATCCTCTGTCTCTGGAATAAGAAGTTTTGAAGTTTCAATAGGATAAAGTAAGCTTAAAGGTCTTTTTTGGATGCAGTTTCAATATCTGCAGAACGAACATAACCATCGGAACTAACATACAGATGAATGACTTTTCCTAGCCTCCAGCTACCTCTAGTAGTATTATCTTTGATAAGCACTACATCACCTACATTTGGATTGAATTGTACTTTATATTTTCCTTGTTTTAGATTTGTTTGTGTTCTTTCCCTAAGACTACATAAATATTCGTCTTTCCATAATTTCCAGAAGGAATCTAAAAGCCGCTGTCCTTTTTTCCATATTGCCAACAATTTATCCTGGGTCATCTGAAGATATTTCAATTTCAGGAAAGCCAACATTCGGGTTCAAACAAATGAAGTGTGAAGGTGTCAGCGTGATATTGGAGTTTATATCTTCTCCAACATAAACTAATGGGCGACAGTTCACAATAGCTTTAACTTCCTTTATGATAGTTATAAGCTGGTCGCTGTCAAATAACTTTCTTCCAATAGATTTACGTAAACTTCTTTTAGTTAAACCAACAAGTCTTTCATAGAAGCCGCCCATCCATTGAGCGATTTCTACAATGAACCTCCATTTAATACCCTCACAGAACTGTAGCTTTGAACATCATCACTTTTCAAAATTGAACACCATAGCAACTCAATTGTACGTTTTGCCAGCTTAAAATGTAACGCATTGTCACTGATGACCTCTTGTGGTTTTCCTCTGCATGCTATAAATCTCCAAAAACTGTTTAAAAATGCATTTGTTGTCATGTCTTTGACCATTTCGAGATGAACTGCACGCGTGACCATACATGTATATAGGCACACCCACACCTTTTTTATGGTTTGATTGTCCCTTATGTATAATGGTCCGAGATTATCCAATCCAATATGACTGAAAGGTGTTGATTTTGTAACTGTTTAACGAGGCAGCGGAGCCATAAGAGGCATTTTATACGCTCCTCCTTCAACTCGACGACACAATCAGCACTTATGAAGAACTTTTCGTACCGTAGCTCTTCCGCTCGGTATCCAGTCACGATATCTAAGTTGACTTAGTGTTTGAGACACACCTGAGTGAACCAAACGCTTATGTTCCCTTTCGACAATTGACACTGTTAAAGGATCATTGCGAGGTAGCAGTAACGGATGTCTAGCAGACTCCGTTAAACAAGCATTTATATCAATAGCGTTTATATCAATGAACACACCAAGTTGCTGCTGTAAATTGCATTTTTTTCTTTCCTCTGATAGACTCATAAACTTCCAAAATATGTTTGTGTTGCGCATGTTTTATCCACATATTTTCAGCGTCTTGAATTTCCTTTGATGTTGGAATATGTTAATCATAGTCTTCCTTTTCCATTTTACCGATTGCTCTTTTAACATATGCTGTGACACGTAATAGCTTCGTCACCGAAGAATATTTTGTTTGATCAATTTCAAATGGAGCACACGAAGGAAAACATTCATACTTTGCTCCATATGCAGAAACACACACATTTTCACTTCTCTTCTTTTCTTTTACCTTACATCTTGTTGCCATTGCTTTGTCCATTCTATCATTTTCTTTACACGTTAACTCATCTAATGTCCTTTCGGAAATGTCTTGCAATAGCCACTCAGGACCATGCCACCATGACGAATTTTTCACAAGATCTTTTGTAGAGCAACCCCGACTGGCTATATCAGCTGGATTGTCTCTAGACGTAACATAATGGAAGGACACATGTTTGTGGTCCTTTATTTCATTAACTCGATTTCTAACAAACAACGGAAGCTGTTTTTGCCGACATAATCCACTTTAATGCACACTGAGAATCTGAGAACAAATGAACTTCAAGTCGTGGAATACTGATGTTTGAAGTTGGGGCAAGTCGAGTCTTTGAAAATACTATTTCGATGTGCTGTTGTGAATTCCCTTTCTGCATTAAATATATAACGGTAACGTGTGCTTTGGTAGAGGCATCACAGAAACACACAAGAATATTTTTGTTATCACCTTCACTTACAATGCATCGTGGGGTGGCATATTCATTTATTTCACTGAGATCTCGTTGAATTTCATGCCATACAACAATGTCTTCTTCGTCAATTGGCTGGTCCCAATCGACTTTTTTGTTCCACAGTGTTTGAATGTTTCCTCTAAGCGTAACTGGTGAAAATATACCTAGAGGGTCAAATACAGAGGCAATTTTGCTCAAAATGACACGTTTAGTTACACACTGAGTTGTCGATTTATTCACTTTCTGTATCGCCAATGTATCATTGTGTCTGTTCAATTCAAGACCTAACACTTTAATCACAGTTCCATTTGCTCTGTTTTCAGGTGGAATACTTTCCGTCACGACTCTGTTGTTAGACGCCCACTCGCTAAGATTCATGCTGGCATCGTCGAAAATTCTTTTGGACCTAATATACAAGTCTTTCGCAGCTTCAACGTTTTCTGTTCCCGTTACAACATTGTCCATATAAATATCTAGTCTCAGTTTCTTGGCGATTTCATTGTTATAGCACTCCAAGTGATAATCAATTGTTGCTCCCAATAAGAAAAGGCTTGACACAATTCCAAAGGGGATCCTACAAAACCGGTATTCTTGTACCTGATTTTGCGATATGTCTGGGTGTTCAATATCTTTCAGCCATATGAAACGAGTGACATCTCTTTGATCTTTCTGCAACCCAACTTGGAGGAAAGCCTTCTCTATATCGGAAACAATACCGATCTTATGTAGTCGAAATCTTAGCAGAATTCCACACAAATCATTCAAAAGCACGGGTCCTCTGTAAAGGCAGTCGTTCAAACTGTTATTTTCAACCTTTGATTTAGCTGACGCGTCATACACAATTCTCAGCTTTGTTGTTGATTTGTCAGGCTTTATCACTGCGTGATGGGGTAAGTAATGTATATGTCCATTCTTTTCAGAGGTCTCAACCTTTTCTATAATGCCCTTTTCAAGCTGATCTTGAATAACAGAATCATATTTCTGTAATACATCTGGGTTATCTTTGAACCTTTTCACTAATGATTTAAGCCGTCCAAAAGCTAGAGGACGATTTTCTGGAACTTCATAATTGTCGCCTCTCCACGGCCACTTGACATAATATCTGTTATCTTTGAACACAAGACTTTCTTTGAACTTATCTATCGCTTGATCATCCTCAGTTCTTTCATGTGTGCTATCTTTCAATCCTATTGTTTCTATATTCCAAAAGTCTTCTATGTCAGGTAAGTTTGGAACACATGTGTCAACTGTTGTAAACACTTGTGTCTTAGTTATGTTATTGCCATATGATAAAATGAGCATATTGGCATCAGTAACGCTGTCATCGATTTCACTTGTTCTCCCTGAAAGAATCCAACCAAGTTTTGATGACAAGAGGTATAAGCCTGGCTGAATTTCTATTTTATATCCTAACACTATATCTAAGTAATAATCATTTCCCAACAGCAAATAAATAGAATCTGTGTATTCTTCAGTCGGTATATCATCCGCTAGAGTAAGATTCTTGATTAATGATCTAAACTCTCCGTTATTAGATATAGACACCGGTTTTCTTTGAATGCTTCCTGTAATTGTTGGAACAATATTTGCTGTTATAGCGAAATTCTGTCCATCCTTAAATCGAATATTCAATTGCGTAGACATTGTCCTAATCACTTTAGGTTTGTCACTCCCAAATGTAACTAGACGAATCTCTTGCCTACTTTTCTTCTTGAGATTCAACGATTTGGCCAGTCTCTCGGTTATGTATGTTCTTTGCGACCCTGCATCTAATAAGATTCTTACATTCTCTTTATTTTGACCATCTGGATCACAAATCTCAGTGCGCGATGTTTGCATCATCACTATTTCATTAGAAAATAACAAAGCACTTTCAATACAAGCTTTGTCATCCGTAGAACTTCTAAGAATTTCCTTTGGTTTTACTCTATCTTCAGACACACATGCTACTTCTTCTAACAAATTTACACTTTCTTGCAGAGATGCTTTTCTACATTTTTCAGGGCATGAGCTTCTGTGGTGTATATTTGATTTATTGCAATATACACAAACACGTATACTTTTACAGCCAGGAGACATGTGTCCTTCTTTCTTTTAAGCATTTATAACAGCATCCCTTTATTTGAGCTTTTCTTTCGTCGATTGTTTTAAACTTCGGACATTCGTCACTCCAATGATTTTTACTACAGAATCTACATATTTTCTCTTATGTTGTTGTTGTTTTTGATGATGTTTTAGAGGTGTATGTCCTTTCTTGTCATATGCAGTCAGAGCTCCGGTAGTGTTACTTGTTGTTGAATTACCCCTGTAGCTTTTAAAAGTATTTGTTGATCTTTGAAACTGTGCATTAACTCTTCTATCAGGTACAAAATTAGCACTGACTAGTTTCGGTCTGTCTGACTTTTCTCTGGATAAAATATACTGTCTGAGAAACTCACGAAGCTTGGTTATCGTCCACTTATTGTCTGCACCCTTTTGTACTTCAAGATGCATAAGAACTTCACTTGGTAGTTTGCTCCGAATAATTGATACGAACACTTGTTGCTCCAAACTCTCATGCATAACCTCCAAACTTCTCAAGTGCTTTTGTATTTTGTCATAAAAGAATCGCAAACTTTCAGTTGTATCTTTAGGGGATGCAACGTTCACCAGCCCCTTGTAATGCAAAAATATAATGTCTTGTTTATCTCCAAATCTTTCCTTTAGAATTGTTATGGCAAAACCGTAGTTTTCATTAGATAATGTCAGTCCAGCGATTACACCTCTAGCTTCTCCAACCAGCTTTCTCTTTAAATAGTTGAACTTGTCAACTGGCGACAGATTGTCATTTTCATGTACAGCATTAGAGAAAGAGTCCCTAAATTCCATCCATTGCAGTTTATTTCCATTGAAGGAAACTATGTCTAACTTTGGCAATTTGACAGTATTCTCACTCTTAATTTTGAGACTGTGTTGCTTGTCAAAGAATTTCTGTTGCATTTTCATTTGCTCTTCTGCCCGTTCTTGCTGATGTTCAAAGAAGGCTTGTTGAAGTTTCATCTGAACTTCACACATTTTTTGTAAAGCTGATCCTTCTTCGTCCGACTCCTCTTTTATAATATTCTCTGCTATTTTGCTTTTCAGGTCGGTCTGTACATTTTTCAGTTTAAAGGCTATCGACAAAGCCCTATCTATCAAGACCGAATCAGTTTCAATCATCTCCTGAATAAATTCACTATCTGAATCACCAATTGCACGCGCTACCTTTTCTGACTGAACAGTAAGCTTATCTATATAAATATCAATCTTAAGTTTACTTTCATTGACAGAATGCTCAAGCTTCTTCTATTCTTCTGGGCTTATGCTCTCAATACTTGTTTCTAATAAATTATCTCCAGTCTGTAATTCCTTCTCAAGGAAATTAAAGTAGCGTGTGCGCACGCCTTTTAGATATGGTAAGTCACTAATGATTACTATTTAGATATTTATAAACACACAAAAAAAAATCACAGTAACATTATTCAAAATTTACCTCAGTGGTTCCATGAATTTATTCAACACTTTTTTTAGTTCACTTTTATATTCCTTTGAGAAACACTTTATTGATTGTGGTTACCACTTCGCCTTCAATTTGTTTTCACGCATAAACACATTTCAGGATACCACACATCACTATTTTCTTTGACTGAATCGAGAATCCTTTCAATCCAACTGTAAGATATTTGTTTTCGCATCTCACAGAGACATCATATATACGTTGTGAAGAAATTCTTTTTTTTGTGGAAAATCTTCAAATTCTATTCTCGATTCCCGGGTTCCGGCGCCAAATTCAATGTAGCAGATTTTCTTAACTTTTTCCGTTTAATTTCCTTTTAACTTTTACTACATTGAAGACAACAAAATTCACTTTTGAATTCAGATTTTATTTTCACTTTTACATCCAACTATACTTTTTAATCACCTTTTAACGACCTTTTTTAACACTTCTACACTTCTACGCTTCTACCAAAATAAAGATTGTAATTCACTTATATAGTGTTTCGTCCCGCCAATTTAAAGAGTCATGAATATCATGATATGGAGTAATTCATAAGTGAAATAAATTCCCGCCAATACCAAAATACACAATTCATAAGTTTTGGAGTAAAAGAAATATAATATTTTCCCGCCAAATACGAACATACACAATTCATAACTTTTGGAGTAAAAGAAATATAATATTTTCCCGCCAAATACAAACATACACAATTCATAACTTTTGGAGTAAAAGAAATATAATATTTTCCCGCCAAATACAAACAGACATAATTCTCATGATTAGGTAACAAAATCGTGTAATTCACGGCAACAATTTCATGATTTGCGAGATGTTAACAAGATATTGGAATATGCACAATGCTGAGTCAAATTTGCACTATATTGAGTCCTATTTGCACAATGCTGAGTCAAATTTGCAAAATATTGACTCCAATTTGCACTATATTGAGTCCAATCTTCACTATTTTGAGTCCAATTGGCACTATGTTGAGTACAATTTGCACCATAATGTGTTCAAAATTAAGTACATCTCAAGCCAGCTCTAGTTAGGGCCCTGAGGGATGTTGCACTTTTTCATTTTTCCTCATGTACAGTCTCAATCAAACCGAGCCTGCAATTTGCATTTAATTTTTTTTGTGGTTAATGCTCTCGACAGATAACTTTCCTCCAGATTTTTTTAAATTTCTAATTAATGATATCAATAACCAGCTGTTACTGATGAATTACTCCAATGAACATCCACACTTAATATACAGCTTCAATTTACAGCTTCGTTTGTATAGTTTTGATATACAAAAAAAAACACTATAAAATATGATGACTGGTTCCCATAACTTACACAGAGCAGATCATTGAGACAGCTCTTCAGCAGAGTACCAGGCTGACTCTGGTAATAATTATGAACACAGGACATCGTTTCTTCTGGGTTGAAACTCTTGATCTGACAATAAAGCTTCTCTTGAGGAATGGCAATCAGATTGTTCTAGAAAAAAATATAACATATTTAATTATTATTATGAATTTTAATACCTCCAGGATTTATTGAAGAAAAGACTTTCTAAAACATTTGTCAAGTAAAGAAATTGCTCAATAAATACACAAGGAAAAGATCTACATAACAAAGGAGGCTGGTGGTAAATGTGCCTGTTCATGACTGGACTGGTGCACAAGAGGAGCAGTAAAGGTCTTTCTCTATCAGTAAAGCTAACAATCTTTAAAATATCAGTGTGCTTTGAAACTGAGACACAAAATATATTATAATAATATTTTTGGTTGCAAAATCTTAGTGTGCCAGGTGAGTACAAAAGCTATCCATATTATTTGAAAAGCCAATTTAAAAGGTCACAAATACGAACCTCTAGCACCTTCTGGTCCACAGGTTTCTGACTTTTCAATTTTGAAAGAACTTCATCATTTATGCTTACAGCCTCCTGAAAGTTGAAGTAGTTAGTACAATTAAAATTTTCTGCGATACAAAAAACATTTCAGAAAAATAAGTATTTTAGACACATGTTTAGAAAATTCTGTAAAAAATAATTTTGCTAGATATTCTCTTGGAAATAAATGCACCATTAAAAAGCAGTGAATCTGAAAAAATCACTGTCATATCACCACTTTGGTGGAGTAACCGGTTAACACCTTATATAATTCAATATGAATTAATCAGTTACTGCACTAAGGTGACATTATTTCATATTTATACTTTGCTATCCATTTCTTATGTACTTTAAATTAACATAACAGTGGCTGTAAAGGTAGAGTATTTAATTTAAAGCACATTAAACCTCATATGGCATTTTTTTTATTTTCTATTTATATAAGGTATTATCTAATTAAAGTAACAATGACACTGTGAAGATTATTTGGCCACTTTCAAATTTTACTGATCAAGGAAAACCTCAGGAGCCCCTTATTTTAATTGATGCACTAGTTGACCCCAGTGTAAAACTATTGACTCTGTTACCTATCTTGATAGCTGCCTTGTATGAGAGAAATCCAAGTCTCTGGACGGATTCAAGACCAAACTAATAAGAGGCTAAAGTTTCGAAGTCAGCTTGGAACATAAAAAGTACAACTTGAACATAAAGTACGAGCACGTAATAACAATAGGGGAATTAACAAAATAAAGTAGAAGTATTTTAACAGCTTGATGTCAAGAACCTTAACTTCTCATCTACAATAAAACTGAGTGGAGGAAAATCCATAATTCTGTTCTGAAGTTACATCAGGTGTATGCAAACAAATGGGTAAAACCCATAATTATTTCATACGTAGGCTCCCCAAAATAAGAGAATTAAAAGCCCTCAACAATTTTGATTTGGTGCAAATCATACAGCGTGATGTCACATAAATCATATGAAGATTTATAAAGAATCGACATTAAAGTAAAATATTAATACTCGCCTGTTTTGTAAAGTTTCCGCTGACTAGGGATTCTAAGAAAATATGTTTCAGAAAACGGTTCACCAGATCCATGAGTTCTTGTTTGGTAAGCTCGTCTATGATCCGGTATTTGTCAGCATGTGACCAGTAGTGCTTCACTGTCACCATCCAACGTAGAACTCTAGAATATCACCAGCGCAAAAATAAATAAAATATATCTGACATGTTCATTACATGCTAGATTTCTTGTAGACAATGAGATTTTTCCTGTTTAAAAATCTGAGCTGCATACTTAAGTACATACATGTATGACTATTCTTAGCAACTATCTATCAGGTCTAGCTGTAATCTTTACAAAATCTTCAATATATTTAAGTTTTGGCACCAATAACAAGAAGAAATGTGTAAAGATGTTTTTGATTATTTCTCTTTTTTGTTGGGTTTTAGATTGCAATCAACACGGTATTAGTCAAATGGCCACTTTCTGGATATATATTTCAGTAAATATCTCTTTTTTTTTGGGGGGGGGGGGCGTCACATCGCCACAGTATAGATCATATCGCGACGTTCCAGCTTTGCTGGTGGAGGAAGACCTCAGGTGCCCTTCCGTGCATTATTTCAGGCACGAACAGGCACCTGAGTAGAACCACCAACGTTCCGTAAGCTAGCTGGATAGCTTTCTCACATGAAAGAATCCAAAGTCCCTGTCGGAATCTCTATAGTTAAGGGCCTTTGTTAGTGGTACATCATTCAACCCAATATGTGAAAGTTGAAGTAAATGTCTTCCGTGGTTGTAGACATAGATCTTGCAGGCAAAACCCTAACCTAGTGTTACACCAATGGCAATTCAAGAATGAGTAAGGCACTGACATTATTCTTTAAACAGTAAAAGAAAAGGATGTTTTTTTACGTGTATATGTATATTCTGATTGAATAATTAAATTTTCAAACACTAACAAAAATTTGGTAATATAATGTCAGCATCTCTGGAAGTAAAGTACCATAAAAATACTAAAACTTTGGCGTACCTTGCAGCATGTGATGATTTCATTATCATATTATGGTAGGTTTTCTTTACTTCAGCTTTCATTGCATGAAACAGGTCATCAGAACAAACGAAATTTTTAATCAGGTCAATGGTCAGCAGTAGAACTTCCTGTTCAGAAGAATTTAAATATTTGTAATCCAACACCAAATTCATTGACAAAATTTCGACACAACTGTTATACACTTTAAAGTAGTTGTGTCTAAAACATAAAGAAGTTACATCAAGAACACATGCCTGCAAAATGTAAAATATGCATCATGATTTAATATATTAAATCACATAAGGGTAAAAATTGGTGACAAAAAATATCAATTAGAACTGTCATGTCCTAGCTAAGAAGAAACCCTGCACGCCACATTTCATCGTAGGGTACTATGATAGTGTGCTGAAACATCATGTTGACTTTAAAGTTATGCTCTAGATAAAAAGGGCAATAATTCCAAAGTCATGGTTTATCATCACAATGAAATCTCCATGTACATGTAGTTAACAAAACAAATCTTCAAAAATTCAAACCTAAAACAAATACATTGTATATTCTAAAGTTAAGAAATACAAACCTAAAACAAATACACAAAAGTATATTCTAAAGTTAAGAAATACAGATGTATTCACAATTCAGGAGAAACTATTGAATGTATTACGCAAAATATGACAGAATTTACTATTTTTATCCCTCCCACCCCCTACTAATGGAGATAGAGAAATGTCTGCAAATTTTAACAAATTATGAACATTTAGTGCCTCATACCAGCTTAAATAACTAAATTTGTACACTTGGCAACATTTTTAATTTTTCACTCGTTAGAACGGTTCATAAAATTCCGTAACAATGAACACAAATTGGATGACTTAGTGCCAAAACTGAGTGTTTACGTACCTGTATCTTATGATTAAAGCCATTCACTTCTACCACCATACCTGTCTGATCACACATATACCCAATCCTGAAAATCATAAAAAAATAAATTATAACACATTCATTTGTTCTTTCCAACAATTTCAACATTCAATGGCACCATTCTGTATGTTATCATAATGATGATGTTTAGTATGAAAAATCATAGAAAAAATAATCTAATGCAATTTGACAATTCTGACTGTTATTTTTTGCCAAGAGATTTTTACAAAAACCCATATTCTAACACTATCCGCATTTCCCCTATTAAAACTGTGATGTGCTGAAAATAATAACGGAAACAAATCATTTAATTTAGCTTGGTATCATGTACATCAGCATTTATTTGTTAATGTTGTGTAAGAAATGAAATAATATATCCCAATCAGTGATTTTATCAAGTGTTTGTCTTTTGTATGCGTATCATTATTTCACTTGAGTTATAATTTATCCCATCCAAACTACAAACTGTCAGTTAGTTTATTTAGCGATAAAATCGCTGATTGGGATATATTATTTCTTAAAAAATGCCTGGTCAAGTAAATATTAAAGTAAAGGTTTATCTGTGATGTCCTACTACACGGTTGATTGTTTAATTTCTGCTTAATTGATTTTTGGAAAGACATGCACAATTGTTTTGGGACATATAAACATTCTACTATAACGCTTAGCTCATTAAATTTTATCATGCCATAGACTTGGAGCCTTAATTTTTTATTTTTTATTTATTTATTTTTTTTTTTTTTGAAATGGGTCACTTAAATGCAATGGCTTTGCCCAGTTTTAAAGCTGGAGCAATTTGAACATTCAGAAATTTGAATATTACAATACAAAAGTTGAGCTACCAACTGCACAGAACCTGGTTATACCTATGACAAAGTAAAATAATTTTTATTTTCAGCAGATCAGGATAAGCATAGATTATTAAGCTTCCCTTTTTCATATAAAAATGTTTTCATCTTTTACATAAAACAAAGCCTCTAAAGATTGTTAATAGTCATCATAATTAACAAGGCTTTACTCGAAAATATATAGGACTTGTTGCTAACTTACCTGTATCCAGCTACCAAAGCAGGGTACGTCGGCTCAGAAATATTCTGATCCAGTATTGCAATAAATAAATCACACAAAGCCGAGCTGAAAAAAAATCAACAACATTATTAAGCTCACTCAGACTATGAAAACTAATACAAATTCAGCAGTCTTATTTTATAACATCAATCAAATGATTTCTTTATCATTCACACTTAAACAAAGGACCGAGGTAAGATTGATGCTTTCAATCAGATGTACATATAACAGATTTAAACAAAAACTGACTACTGAACGAGACACAGGCATGATATAAACTTTTTGTGTGACCACCTGGAACTATCAATATTATAATATTATATGATATAAAGAGAAACAATGCCAGTGACTACCTATAAATGGAAGGAGCTGGGGATTCAGTCTGTTTGGTTTCACCAGCAACACAGGTCATATGGTACCAAATCAGGAAAGATAGTTTTGGTGAAGCAACACCGGGGGCAAAACTCCTCACCCTTTGGAGCTAAGAGATACATAAACTCAAGTTATTTGAACCCTTTTAGTTGTCTTTTATCATCACACAGAGATAAACGGTGACTGAAATTCTTATACCTTAACCATAAAAGGCAACCCCTCAGCTACAAGGGGTGAAGGAACTGGTATGTATATTCAAACAGGAATAAGTAAAATGAGCCTTACCTCTTCAGATCACAGACAACAGGGATTTTCAAATGCATATAAATGTATCCTGCAGGATATAATGAAAATAAAGATATTAATCAAATATTCCTTTATTTAAACCTACTCTAAAACATTGAACATACTTGATAGGTTAGAAAATAGGAGAATTTACTTTAACGAAACAAAAACAGATGCTCAGAAATTAGCTTGAACACTTGATACACAGGAACTTAAACTAAAATATTTGTTCATCTAAAATCAATCTAGTTTATCCAATGTATACTTAAAAGGGATCCTTCAATTACAATTCTATAGAATTTATCTACTCAGATTTTGTAAATACAGTCTATAAATTGTAATAAAAAACTCTCATTTAAGTTAGTATCAAGCTTTTATACTTCATTTTGGCACATTAATTCGTATGTTTTTCTTTAAGAAGCAATTTTTTCAATATGAAATATAGATGCTTTAATTTTCTAATGATTTTCAATAATGCATTATCTTTGCTAAGTAGATATTTGATATATTCTTGGATGTATGGAAATTGTTTTAGAAGCATAATTATATACATATAAAAAATTTCACGTAAAAGTTGTTACCACTTTATTTACAACATATAGGATCTTTAAATTATGTGAAATTCTTCACCATTATAACATATAAGGTAAAAACAATAAAAAAAAGCTACAACTCTGTCAAAAATGATAAATACACGTATTTTGGACCATACATACTTGAACACTTGATTTCAACGGCAATCTTCAACCTCAAATGGAAATCTTGGTTTACTAAAAGCACTCAAATCTACAGTGGTTGATCATTCACATGGTTTATCCTGTTGCTCAGGCTTATGGCCTTCAAGTTTATAATTCTATAAAAAATATATCTGAACTTCAGTTTTGTATAACTACATGTACATGACAATCCGTATAAAATAACTCCTATATATAAATGATAGATATTAAGCTGTTATACCTTACCTTTTGGCACATTAAACTTTGTGTCTTTCTTAAAGAACAATTTATGTTGACTAGAGGATGACACCATCATAGGCACTGGCTTTAAATCTTCCGCTTGGAGGTCTTTCAATGTAAAATCTGTTGCTAAAAATAGAAACATCAAATTGTAATATCATGAACGTAACATCTTAACTCAGCAAAATGAAAATGGTACCAGGGGAAAAAAACCATACTATGTCAGTTATTATTTAGCAAATAACCGTCTTCTATTGTATCATAATTATATATGCTTTGTTATCAGCCTGTATCAAGAACTTACAGAAAAAATCAGTAGATCGAAATAAAGAATAGGAAAGACAAAAGACAAGTTTATGAAAAAAATAGTATATGTATAGGGTAAAATTTTAAGTGACATTATGCTCATATTATTATCGTCAAGTTTAGCTGAAGTGACTACACATTTCTAAAGATTGACTGTTATAACGGTGATTGATCAAAAACTGATACTGGAAAAATGTTTATGATAAAATATAAATCTGTCTAAAATACATACTCTTTTTATAATTTGAACAATACAGGTAAATTCTGTGACCAATATTAACATAAATTTCCTATTTTTACCTTGACTTTTACCTGTTCACTCACTTTATACCCTTGGATAGGCATAATGACACTTTAATGAATGAGCTCAGTAATAAAATTCGCAATAAATATCCTGAACATCTTACCAATAAAATGGTTCTCTTTTGGTAAAAACAGCTCAGTATTCTGCCCAAGTTTCTTTCTTTTTGTTTTAAATGAATCAACACAACAATGATCAAAATGTTGAAGGTCATATATATTCTGCTTGTTTAATTAAGTGGGATACTCCCGGTGCTGTTAATTTTTAAAACTGGCAGGTTCATTGATAGGAAAAGTACGTTTCGGACACTATGTTACATTATGTTATTGGGTCAGGGAACATAACCACTTTGCTATGGAAATTTTATGAATTCATTAGCAGTGATTAACCTGCCAGTTTTTGTATTAAATCTATTTCAAAGATTTTTAATTTTGAAATTTAGAAACCCAAATAAGTACAAAACACTTCTATAATTAGATAAATTTGATATGCACATTATGCTTCATCATAAAATTGATGTCAATTCAAAGATTTTATTTTTGAAATTTCGGACCCCAAATAGTACAAAACACTGCTATTTTTAGATAAGTAAGTTTGATATAACAAGTTGTGTACATTATGCATCATCATAAAGTTGATGTCATTAAATCAAATACTATATATGATGTAAGATATTTAAGGATCTACTGGCCCTTGTGGTTAAGGTGTATGCCTCTACCAGGGATAATGGGATTAAGCCATGACTATGTTTACTCTTACAACACCAGTCCTTGATCGTAAGAGGTGACTAAATTGGTTTGAAAAACGAGAGTCCATGCATCTCTTACCTCCAGCAGGTTAAATCATTTTGAAGTTTGTAATAACTGAGGTTAGCAAAAATCATCTTTCCTGTTTTGGCGCCATATGCCATATACTGTGTTGGTGTGCCGTAAAACCAAACAATCAATACAACACCAGTGCTAGTAAGTTCAAAGAAGTTGCCTTTAGAATGCTTCAATTATGCTTTGACCTCTCTTCACAATCAATTTTTTTGCTTGTTTGTCTATTTTTATGCAGATTTCAACACATTTTGCTTATAATCCATGGCTTGGTTCATCTAAACAGCTTTCTCAATAACTAACAATTACCTATTCCTCCAAAAAAAGTCAGGTTAAATTTGAAAACGATGTATATCAGAACACTACAATCAGTAGTATCAATACATCATTATACAGAAATCTGTCAAAAAATAATTCTTACCAGTCCAAGATTGTAGTTGTTCTTTAGGAATGTCTTCAACAGAATAATGAGTGCCAAACCAATGTTCTTTAAAAGGGCAATCACTCTCTGTGAAGATTGTAGAGGTCAACATTACATTACAGTTGTCTGCCCTTAGTTGTTCCATACAATTATTTATAACCTGCAAAAACATAAAATGTTAGTTTAATACTATTTATAATACAAAAAGGCGAAGCCTCAAAGCAAGCTCGATTTTCTTTTACCGTCAAATAGTATTCTAAAATAATGGTTCATTTTTATTTTACATTTTCCATTTTAATGTCATTTTATTTTATACTTCCATTTATTCTGTTTCTCTGTCCTATTATGGTTCCCATAGAAATGACAGGAGACCAGTCAACGCATCTGTTTCCAATCAGAATTCATCAGCATTTGTCAGCATCTTAGAATTCTAAACGTTGCCATGTGTCAATTTTCCATTTTGAAGTGCTTCGGGCGAAAGTTTTTAAAACCATCACTATATAGCAGGTCACTTTTCACTCACGTTTCTGTAAAGCTCGCTTCGAGCTCGTTATCAACAATGTAAGAACACAATTTCTATTTCAAACACTATTATAGATGAACAAACAGGTAACCATGGGTTAATCACTAAACTTTGCAAGTGAAAAAAAGACTTCAAAACATATATTTTCTTGAGACCTAAAACTTTTAAAATCCACATTTCTGGCGAGGTTAATATTCGCAAACGTCTACTTCCAGTTCAGCAAACTTTAATCGGACTGGTTGATACTAAGCAAACATTTTATCTACAAAAATATTAAATTTGTGAATTAACCAAAAATTTAACCTCTCGCACATATTTTCTGACTTTACAGTAACTGATCTTCTGTTAATCTGATGTAAAAATTTTAAATCAGTGAATATTGTATAACTGACACCAAAAATTACAAAGTATTTCTCATTCTTGGTAGAAAACTGGCAATAAATGACCACAAATAACAATAAAACCCACACACATCTGACAATATTTGCCAGAAACTGACAAACCTTTTCATCAAACTTGTACAAGAATTGATGTCCTGTAAGATAATCTTCTGGAGGGTACAACTGCATATTGTCAGAAACCATTTCTACATATCCAGCTGGATCTCCCTGAAATAACAATCATAATTGCTAGATAATTTCAATTCTTCTTTATCGTGGACACCGGGATAAATCATGGAGAATTTTTGAGTTTTGAAAATTTGATCCTGATCTTAAAGTTTTGTTAACAGGGGGCCAGGTATCGAGGACTAGTTGTTAATGCCATTCTATGAAATAGTGCTACAATTTTATTTGCTAAGATCACAAGGGAGATTATTTCAGTGACAATCAATTCTGTCTCTTACATAGTGACCTTCATTTACATACCAAAATGCAGATGTATGTGTATATGTTAAGCAGTTGTGGAGGTATACACTGACAATCAAGACAACACAACTACATGTCATTTGTAAATTTAGAAAGCAATAATTAAGTAAAATTTCATATATAAGTGACATAGATGGTATTCAGCAACCAACATATATATGACCTTTAAGACAAGTTTGGAGTTTCAAAAGAATTCCTTCACTACAAAATTGCTCTTAAAATCTTATATGAGTGTGTAGTAAATAACGACTCCACAATTAGTTGGAACCAGAGTGTTTGTCCTATACCCAATAAAAAAATCAAGTTAATGATCCTGGTAATATCCTTACAAAATCCTTTAAATGAAACTTAATATACCTTCTCTTTCCACCAAAACTTTGTTTCTGTAATAACTTTAAGTTCATTATAGAAGCTCTCCTGCGGTCCTTCTCGTTGCATCAGGTCCAGATATTAAAATATAACTTTAACAACCTGTTTACAGAAAATGCATATTGTCAGTTTTAGTTGTTCTATTGTCATACATCACAGAATATATGCAACATGAAAATGAATAACATTTCACCATTAGGAAGTTTTAAAATGGGCAGATCAAAACAAGTACATGAAAATTGCAAACTTATGTTAAGATAAAATCTGTTCATGAGAAATAAAAGTGCAACATTTATCCTCCTGCTGTCTATATTATCAGCTGGTTAAAGCCTAGCCAAATAAACTTATAGATCTATCTCCAGTTATTTCGTCACATGTTTAGCCTATGATGACTTCACGTGGTTAGTAACAAATAAAAAAAACTACATATAGCCATTGTTTTATCAGGGAAATGAAAACATTACAACAATAAAAGAACATGGTTAAACTAGATAAAAGCAGAATAAATTGAATACAAGGTTGTTGTCAGGATGGAAAAGGTTTATACAGTTTGCTGCGAAAGCGGATCTTGGCTCACTTAAACTCGCCAAGATACACTTTCCTGCTCACTGGATAAACCTTCTCCTCACCAACATCAACCATGTATTGTCTATTTACCAAAGCACTGGCTTCAGCAGTAGTCTATCTTTATCACTGAATAACTGATAACAATTATTGCAATAGGACTATAGAAAACATTACAACACTGAGATTAAGTACACTACAGGACAAATTTTTGACAGCTGCCTCTGAGCACTTGACACCTGCTGTTTTGATTATAAAATTCTGAAAAAGGGAGTTTGCTCAAAGACAATGACAAAAAATACAAATGACGGAGATTTACTTTATGCTTTATATCAACATAAACAGTAAACTATGCTCAAGCCAGATTGATGTCTGTGAATCCAAGATACAAAATTTCCATTGCTAAATCAGTAAAGATCACAGTGTCAACCATAAAGAACACAACATTTGAAAAGTTAAGAAAAAAGATTTTCACTCACCTCACTCCAATGTTTAAGACCCTCGTCAGTTAGTGTGATACAGATGTCTAGTGCGGTCCAAATCTGGTTCATATCATATCCTTCCAGTAACTGCACTGCCCACATTCTAAAATATAGCTGTGAAAAGTGTCTCACAAATTTTTATTTATCTGTTCTCGTTCTAATACAGCAGAAATTCAATGTGTTGAACTTAATCTATCTTCTTGATAAGTCAAATTAAAATGAAATGATTCTTTAATCCCCCTATATATTTGTTCTAAAAACCCATATATGGGTTGAAAATTTATGTACTTTTTTTTCAATTTGTCAAGATTTTTACAAATTCTATTTTTTGCACATTTTGTAAATTTTGACATACAATTGAGGCAATTACCTTAGTGGAAGTCCCAGGACCTCGAGGTCCCTTCAATATACTGATGTTCTGTTGAACTTTTATTTTTCTTTCTTAATATTCTAAGTAAGTAATTATGTTTTATTCAGGTGACTCCTATTTAGTCCAATATATTTGTGAAAATTATTATTATTTTAATATTATAATTACGTATAAATCTAAGCCAGAGTTAAAAGACTTAGCCAATGACATACAGTTTTGACCAAAGATGTGTTAAGTTGTTAAATAAATAACTTTTGTAGGTTTGGTGAGCAAACTTTTATGAGAATATCAAAACAACTCAAGTGTATAGACAGTTTTTAAAAAGTTTTATAGTATATTATTTCCTTATTGTGTTGTGGCCAAGTGGTTACGCTTGTTGATTCAAACCACTTATCCCACATCACTGTGGATTGGAATACCGACAGACTTCTTTGACTTCTTCCATGTGAGGAAGCTATGCAGCTAGCTTACAAACGTCGGTGGTTCTACACAGGTGCCTGTTCATGTTTGAAATAATGCACAGAAAGGCACCAAGGTCTTCCTCCACCAGATAAAACTGTATAGTCACCATAAGACCTATACTGTGTTGGGGCGTAAAACCAAACCCTAAAAATATTTCCCTATTCAAATTACATAGATAATTTTTTACCTTTTTTAAGATAAGAATAGATACTTCCTTCTCCTTCATAGTCCAGCAGATCTGAAATATACTCAATAGGCTTTCTCCTGTAAAAATAAAAAAAAAACTTTAAAAACAATCCTGTTGTTTTGTTGTTGATTTTTTTGTCTACATTTTTTTTACCAATTTATCCCTTTTAAATCCACAAATGTTAATGCACTGACCATGTGAAGCTTCGAAGAAAAAAATAACATAGATGGAATTTCAAGAATTTTCACAACTTTCTATATTCAGTCCCTATTTTATGTGATGGAAGTGTCATAGGGTTGAATTATCTGATAAACGCATTATACACGCAAATGATATATACACACTTACACTAACTAAACATACACTATTTATAAAAGTACCTTATCTACATGATTATATACACGTATCTACATTAATATCAATCATACACTAATAACTATAATGTAAAACATTCATAATTACATAATAATAAAGTATAATTGAACACCAAACTAACGTAGATAGCTTATAATGTAGTGGTAGCTTATTGTAGGTGTAGTCAGACCTCCTTATACTTTCGTTCTTTACTGTATTTATTTCGATTAACCTCCTCTCTATCAATAACAAATCAATAACCAATCACTATCGAGTAATCGATATCCGCCATATTTTGAAAACAAATGTAAACAGCCATTTATGCTTTAAAAACTATTATCATCCTTTTTGTAGTTATTTATTGATATATCTACAGGTAAACGTTTGTATTTAATGCCTTATATGTAATTGTGTATTGTATTTCAATTGATCTGAATTTGTATTGTTAATTGTTTGTATTTTCCGTGTGTTATTATTATGTCATTACAGGAGCGTATTTACCATGTAAATATAATAGAATCTGTCGAACCAACCCAGCACTTTCGTTATCATTACCCATTGAGTAGGCCGGCGACAGAAGCAGTGGTGTAAGAATACTTTAAAGCATTTAGTATGCTTCAAAATACCTTAAACACAACTAAAATCTAAACACAGTTATCTGCGACAGAACATCACCATACTTTGGTGAGAGTACAAAATCAATTTTAGCCCCTGCGGTCCTGACCAAAACACATTCAACCTCAAACGCCATCGAGGATTACTTACTCAAGATAGCTATACATAAAGGTATGGTTTTACTATTAAACTGGCAACATAGAACATTAAATATCTTGTATTAACCACAAACATGTAGTGTCGCCGCTGGGGCGGCAATGGCCAAGTGATATACAATGTATGCGTCTTTTCTATTGGCACAACTAAAATAAATAAAAACAGTGAAATATTTGTCTTATCATCATTCAAATGGTTATACAAAATATTTGAAAGAAATTATAATACAAACATTCAGAATCCTTACTACTTATTATTTATTAATGTATATTATCAACATCCAATTCCTGCACCATTGCACATTGATTGTAACGTATGACCATCAAATATAATCACACACTGCTTAAGAAATTTTATCAGACTTACCTAGCACTATGTTCAATATAGTCCTCTTAGTGCAATTACTGGTTAACTCCTATTAAATTGATAGTGACTTAACTCGTTACTGCATTAAGTGACAGTATGTTTTCTCTAGTTAAATACTCATCCAAAAACCGTATAATGTATTGGAGAGTTCAGTGCTTTTAAGTTTAGACAGCTTGATAGTTTATCATATACATGCACTGAAAATGACCGCTGAGAGATCTAAAACCACATATATAAAAATAAGCAATTCTAGGTCAAGAATCTTATATATTCAGACTCTAATAAATGTAACGTTTTTGTTTGCCAAAAACCATTAAATCTGTAATGCCACAGTATGCTCTCTTTTTCATTGTCAAATTGAGTTGCAGTAGATTCTACAGTATTTCAAAAGTTTGAGTATTAAAGATAATGAGAAATGTTTAGGATGAAATATAAAATCTGTTTAAAATACAAACAAACACCCTTTCATTTTTGTCAAGAGAGGGTATCTGACACATTCTGAAGGATATTTATAGAAATTTCTGTGCACCAACTGGGTATTAAATATTCATTTAAAGTAGAAAATGAAATTGAAAACAAATATGGCAAAATATGACCTTATAATTTCTTTACTGTACTTCACTAATTTCATTAACTAATACTGAAATTCACCAATTAACAGTATCACAAAATATCAGTTTTCATCGAAATTCAAAAATTGGGCTACCAACAGTATAGAGCCTGGTCAGACTACACAGATTTGCAAGCTGGCCTGGTTCTATACTGGTGGTAGAGGCTAATCACATTCTAAGCAAGTATATTAAAGCAGCATACATCTAGATTCATACTACTTTCCATGAACATATTGAAAACATAGAAATATACCATTTATTGTTTTATGAATGTCAATGAGAAACAAGGTATAAGTTTTAAAACTTAGCAAAATATCTTAAAATAAAGGCCCCAGGAAAAAATCTAAGTAAGTAAGTAAGTAAGTAAAGTAAAGTAAAGTAAAGCAAAGTAAAGTAAAGTAAAGTAAAGTAAAGTAAAGTAAAGTAAAGTAAAGTAAGTAAGAGGCTACACATTTGGTTTCCCAATCTTCCATGTCGGCCTCTAAATAACATTTTAACCCTTACCCTCATGAGCATATTGTGAAAAATTGCCATTTTCATTGAAAAGCCTCCTGTTACAAGTTCAAACTGCTATGAAACTACAAAAAATGCTTAAACACTAATCAAACTTGGAATAAATGTTGCCTGGACCATTGCCTTTGTAACGATATGCTAAGTCTTAAATTTCCTGTCACCATGGCAACGAGGGAACATCTCAAAATTGCCACAAATCACTATTTTGCCTTGATTTTTTCCATCAAATTTTTTTTCAAAGTGCTGCAATTTATCAAGGGATTGAGATAGAGACATTGGCTTTTCAGCGTTGGTTACACGTTATCTTATGATCGACCTGGGGTCATTTTTAGCCTCTCACAAGTCCAAAAGTTACTTGGCAATGACGAGGACTACCGCCCCCCCCTTCACCTCCCCCCCCCCCCCAACAGAAGGGAGCACATTCCCCTTCTGGCAGCCCCCCTGATGTATCTTTTGGATGGCTCATTTTTTAAGCAACATTTCTCAAACGAAAACATGTTACAAATTATTACAAAGGAACATGTTCATTAACTTTCAAAAAAAGATGAAAAACTTATAATTTTTGCTTTTAACACTATCAATTCCTCCATACATAACATTACATTATTACCAATAAACTCGACATGGAATTCTTTTAAGTCTTGTACAATTTCAGTAGACATACCCTCTCTATAGCAATTACCTCTTTGCAAAAACACTGACAGTAAGACTAAACAAGTAATTTAACCCCTATACAGAAACCTCCCTCAGCAACAACCAAAATCTTTGTCTCCTGCAGGGAGTTGCTCTACAAAGGTTGTACTGTACCTACTTGTTATTTATACCACTAAAACTCTTTCTGACCCAGGCTTCAAGAGTGTCAAGACTGTCTGTAAAAAGATAAGGAATTTAGGTTAATTTAATTAATTTGTTTCAATACATGAATGTTATAGAAGTCACAATGCTAGTTTGCACTACCCTACTAAAAATTGCAGGACTTTGCACAAGAACTATTATATTTTTCCACAACTAGCTAAAAATTTCTCCTTATACATTAAAAGTGTCTGCAGGGGAGAATGAAATGCATATAAAGTGTCTTTAATCTAATCATCCGGGGATGTCAGCTAGAAAACTTATAGACTCAAACAGGTAAAATCCTATACTATTGATTGTACCACTGTGCTTCTTCGATAGGAAATGCAAGTATGCAAAATGAAACCACCACATGAATACCTTTCTTAGATAACATATTTTTCAAATACAAAAGTATTTTTTCTTAAGTTTTATTTCAAAATTTACTCTATTTAACTAATCTGGGGTGAATGTTTCTTTTAACAAGAGCTGTTGGCAAGACAGCGTGCTTGGCAATCAGTAGTTTTGGTGATACAAACTTGCACCAGAGACATAGATAATAAATATATCTCTGCTTGCATGCAAAATCTTAATAAAAGTACGGCGCCAACACTGACGCCTGAATGACTACAATAACTTTCCATATTCTTCAAAAATTCGAACTTAAAAAGCCTTGAAAGGCTTGTATAAACTAATCCCACAGATTGTGAAATGTTTTAGATGATATTAATCCTTACCCCTCTAATTATTCTAAATGGACTTTCCATATCCACAAAACAATTCATTGATCTTTTAGGGGAAAATTACAAAATATTTACTGATTAAATTGCGAGCATTGCAAACAAAAAAATGACATGACTGCTGATCTTGGTCTACACAAGTCGCATGGGTAAAGTAAGCTGCCGGAAACAGGCCAAATATCTGACGATGGTAAAGCTTGATTAAAGTGTCTTAACAGATACTAGACATACGTTTTGAATGTACAGAAAGAGTCATATACTGTGCTGTATAATATCTGTTGAAGAGGTCTCTAAGCTGCCCGTATACATCAATGCCTTTCTCTGCTGGTGTAGTCTTTAATCGTAGAAAAAGATAACAAATGATGTTTTTTTAAAAGACTATAAAATACAAGATAAGTGGCAGGGTGGCCGAGTGGTTAACACATCGGACTGGTAATCTTAAAATTGCTGGCCCCTGCGAGGGGCAAGCCATTGTTTCCCTGAGCAAGAAACTTTACATAAATTGATTAGTACTTGTTGTTTCCAGGAACGGATTCGAAAGTGTTTCAATAAGCTTTCAGCTTCCAACACAACCAAACTAAATAAACTAAAGACTAAAAAAAAAAACATTCCAAATTTAAGCTCACATGATAACAGAGTAATATTTCAAAACTGGTCAGTTCTGTTGAATTTGGCATCATTAGAGAGTACCTATAAAGTATCAAGCATGTACCAGTGCGAAACAATTTGAAAGAACATCAAAGTCATTAAAGTTGCTTAAAACAACAAAGATGACCTAATCTTATTTTATATAAAACCATTACTATACCATTCATTACATTCATTTTCTTGCATTTATCTCTATATCTCGAAAAAAAATATTTAAAAAATCCTAATTGTTGAAATCATGCTTCTCATTTATTAGAGCCGGACTATTAATTACCTTGAAACAAAGTTTAAAAAGTGAAAATGTTTTTTTAGAATTTTGCGGGTGAACAATTACAAAGTTTTAATTTAATATCAATCATACTTACTGGACTTTTTGAAAAAGACAATTTTACACATTATATTCTTTAACTGAATATATCTTTAAAACTGCAATGATATACAACAGAAATTTACACCTAAATACTTGTTTTTCAGTTCATACAATATACATTTGTATTTCAGTATTAGAAACAGACATACAAATATTCCCTACATAACATAAAATGTGAAGTGATTTTACCTGGCAGAAACTTAGACATAGGGTTTCCTTGTTTAGCTGTAGCAATCAAGATATGGTGAAGTCTGTAACTATCACTAGAAACTGTTCTTTGAAATTCTGTGGAAAAAAAACAACATGTAGTATATGTATACCCCATATGATTTTCAAAACAGTGAATTACAGCAAACTACAAAGGGACATAATTCTATCAAAATCCATGACAGAGTCATGCCTAAAAATTAAGGTGATAATTATTATAAAGTAAATTCAAAGTTTCCAAGCAGCACATTAATAGATTAAGCCAAACTAGATATGCCTTAATAAGACACAATTGCACATTCCATTGTTTTGTCAGTCTATGGCCTGACAGCATGACATTCCCACAACAGGACAGATGGACAATGACAAAATTTTATTACCCCCAACCCCTAGGTGGGGGCATCAAAATGGTAGTGAAACAAAAAACTCAATCAAGATGATTTGATGCTAATGATACTTTTCATGATGAATATGAAGATATACAGCATTTTTTAACTTAAAAGTTAAATCAACACTAAAGGAAAGGATAGACCCATCAAGTCAGGCTACAAATAGCATCTCATCGCTGACGACAGCTTCTATCTCTCTATCAACTCTATCTTGCAGCAATAATGGTCCAACAAAGAAGTGAGCAAACTTGTCCAAAGATTTACGAAAGGCGTCCTGCTCTACGTCAAAATAGAAGCATGTCTGTAATATAATAGGATAAATCTGAACAAAAATATTTATTACTAAAGTTTCTAAAACAGAAATTATTCTGGCGTATCAAACAGGATTATCTACTGTGTACACAAGTGCTAGAAAAACCTGTCTTTGATTTGATAGTCTTATTTTAGGAGAGATAAAGAAAGGTAGAAAATCTAACACCCTAGATACAAACTTACAGTTCACTCCATATACAGCAGTTTTCAGACAAGAGTACCGGTATGTAAACATTACAATTTAGCTTAAACATATTTATTTTAGCTGGATTGCGAAACAAGGTCATGCAACTTAGTCACTTTCAAGTCCACTTCCTGGATCTAACCACTACAGCTGCCATATGAGAAATCAAGGTCACGGCATGAATAGGGCTCGAATACATGATCCCTCGGTTGTAAATTATATCAGTAATGGTAATTTTCTGGATAAGACATGGCTGTATATTTCAGGAATAAAACTTGTTTACAATAAACTGAAGAGAGAACAATAACATAATACCCCTGGGTTAGACCATGGAGTCTATTCTAGTATATAGATACAGCAACATTTCTTTCATTCGTAAGTTCACCGTATGCTTTAGTTTAGAAATAAAATGTGTATTTTCATTTTCTGTACTTTTACTGTAAAAAATTATTTTTCACTGCAGTGAAACATATGTTTTGAATTTTCACTGGTGTCTTGCCAGACTACTTTGTCTTATATTCTACCAGTACACAAAATGTAAGGGAAAGACTGTCAAATTGTAATGTCTAAAAAGGAAAAAAATGAAAATAATGTAAATAATAAACAGAAAATTCAAGTTTTTTCTATATAAACATGATTTATTTTCATCATGTTGCATGAAAATTATCATATTTCATTTGTGGCTACTGCCACTAATGAAATATTTATTTTCATACAAATCGATGAAAATAAATCATGTATTTATAGTAAAAGCTTGAATATTCTCTATATACACAACATAATACCATCAAATGCTAGAAAGCTAAAAGCTTTTATAGAAAGTCCCTCCTTGGAAGCTTATTCTTTATTACTACCAACGCAAGCAGTTATACTGGATTACCTAAGCCACCAGTGTAGAGCTAGGCCTGTATGTACGGAAGTGTACTCTGACTAGAAACTATACTATTGGCTGTTCAATTTTACTTATATGTGTATGATACAAGTCCCACTTAATATTTCAAATGGATTATTTCAAATCAAAGCAGGACAAGTTCATAATATCATATCAACAGGGTTAGAGGTGCAACAAACAGGAAACTTATAAATATTTACACTACAGTGAATGCTTCAGCAAATGTTTACCAAAATTGTCTAAAATATACATGTTTTCATTTCCAGTAAAATAAACAAGCATTTACCCTTTTATGATCAGTCCAAGCATTTGTATAGCCACCATGTTTTGAGAGGTAATCATCAAGGGCATTCTCCTCTGGGTACTTTTCACTTCCCATAAATACCACTGAAATATTGTCATATACTGATCATTTACTGACGAGATTAATTCTAAATAAAGATTAAGCAGTGATGCTGAGTCAAAAATGCTCATTGAAATACTTTATATCAACATCCAATATCTTTATGTTTGAAAATGTAACATTTGTTTGCTTAAGTTTAATGTTAGTTTGATTGTGTAGGAAGCTTTAAGCTTATAGACACACTCTCAAATCCCTTCCTGGGACCAACAAGAACTGAGCAGTAAAACTAAAGTTCCTTGCTCTAGCATACAATGGCTTGATTCCAACGGGGTTTGAACCCAGACAGCTACAGATCCTTAGGTAACAAGTCTGACGTGTTAACCATACGGCTATGTCACCAAATTTGTCAGTTTTTTTATAAAGATCAATATATATTTCACACAAAGTGGGAACTGTATGAAACATTATTTGACAAAAAATATAACAGATCGTGTACGCAGGTGAATGTAACTTGATGAATCATTTTAAACTAACAAGTTTTCAATTTATTTCATGCACTTTAAATGATTTTAATACGTTTTCTCTGATTTTTATTGTGTTATGCAATCAACATATAAAATCATATGAAAAATGTTTAAACATCAGGATCACTTTCTGTTGTAAAAATATGGTAAAATGAAGAACTTATCCATATCAGGCTATATATTTTAAACGGACATGTCCATCTTTCACTTTGAACAAAAATCATAATTATTTCTGAAAAAAGGAAGAAAAAAAGTACTGACTGAAATGCAAACAGTGCATAGACTATGATTAAATGACACACATGTAGCACGGGTATAATATATGCTGCCGCAAGCAGGCTAAGAGATAAATTTTGTACTTACTGTGCTCAAGAAAGTGAGCAAATCCAGGGATATTGTCTGGGTCGGAGAAACTCCCCACATTATGTACAGAGCAGCTGCTGACTACTAGAGCTGGGGATCAAAACTGCGTCGTATCCTACAAAATGTAAACAAACGCCGCCATTTCGGAACGAAAATAGTATGTTTTGTGTATAACTCTATTTGATGGAAATGACTGAAAACAAAATATGTGTATTAACACGCTCATCTATTTTCCGCTTCGTTCGGTATATGTTGCTTGTAAAACTATTTTGTGAAACAAAAGTTATAGCGAACTTGCAACTCGAAGCGGTCCAGAATTCTTTTGAAATTGTGTGGATACGACGCAATTCATATTGCTTTATCTGTCGTTTTTTCCTTCAAATCAATTATACACTCGTTTCAGAGTTCACTATAAACTTCAAAATATAATTTTGCACCATTTACTAAAATTTCATTAGAAGAAATGTTTATTTTCCAAGAAATAAAAATTTGTACGGAATGATACGACGCAGTTGTATTTTTGGGCAGTCTTTGCAACAGAGATTATTGTGGCAATATATGTTCATTTTACAGAATAATCCCTTGCGTTAGATAAAAACTCACATCATTCGGGGTTAAAGCAATGCACTGATACTTTTGATTATTTAGAATGCATTATGTCATGTCCATTATAACATTTAATTTGATAGTTTAGATTGCAAAGCTACTTTTCAGTTAAGCATGAATATGTTACTTTGTTAATCTTAATATCTGAAATAATTGCTTATATTTTCCTGAATGTTCAATATTATCTCTTTTCTTTTCTCAAAAGTATAGAGGTCTATCAACTTGAATCACAAAATTCATTTTGGCTAGCTACGCTCCTAGTAGACTGACTGCTTGTTTGTGGTTTTATTTCAAACTTTCACTCTACACTTTAGCTTTACTGAAAGTAATTAAGGACCTCAGGTGAGCCTTTGTGCATTATATCAGGCAAATTGTTGCTCCTGCAGAGAACCATCGACAATTTAAAACAAGCTTGATAGGTTTTCCACACGAAAGAATTAAAATACCCTGGTGGTTTCAAATTCACAGCAGTTCAGTGCAAGTAAACATAAACAGCTCGGCCTCATTTGGACAAACCTGTCTAACTTTTTTTCTTTGTTTTTAAATGTTAACCATGGTCTTAAATATCAGCTTGCAAATAAGCAGTATTTTTTATAAACTTCTGGATTACAAATATTCGAATTAATCATAAAAAATAAAGTTTAATTTCTTGTTGAAATGAAGTTTTTTTTTCTTACTCACTTTTTTTACTTTGATATTTCTTTTAAAAAAGTATGTGTCAGTGGTGTGAATAGCAGAGAAATTTTCAATAGGGGGTAATCCTTTTTGAAGTCATTTTATGGATTTTTTTGTATTGTTAATTGTGTCAGACAAATCATTATCAAATTAAAATAACACTTTAGAATTTATGTTAAGATGCCATGTCTCAAGTCTGTGGAAAATTCAATGAAGATAATCTGACCAAAATTTTCTTAACCCGGCTTCAATTTTAAACATAATGTCGCGTATATATCTGTATCAAATCTATCGGTGCACTAACGGACACTTACCTTACAAAATAATTTGTTGTTTTATCATTTGTAACTGGATTTTGAAAATCTAAAGTTTTCTAATGAAGACGAATGATACTTTAGTGCGAATATCTAATTAATATCCCGAAAATTCATTCCGTAGACCTGTTCTCATCGTCGATTAAGGAATGCAATGCGACAAAATCAGCTGAACAAAAACTGACTGAACGAAACGCATACCTTACTTGCAGCTTAACCATTTATAATATAATTTTAAGAATTTAATGTTCAGAATGCATGAGCAGTTTCATAATCATGTATTTAAAGAGGAAAAATTCTTTATTTCAAATACCGATTTAAGTTTCAAATAATAAAGCTTATCTGTTCTCATCGATTATTAAACAAATAATACAATAAAATTGGCTCGTAAAAGACATAAGTAATAACGGCATTGTCGCATTAGTTTCGAATTCACGGGAACAAATTTATAAGCATGCTCAGGCAACACTAAAACACGCATATGGATGTGCGATGTATTCGATACACCTTTATGGAATTTGCAGACGCTTAAAACAGGTGCTAAAATGCGACCAAAAATGAAGCCTTTAAGTTAATAGAATTTTTATTACATTTTCCATTTTCGTGGAACCAATGAGTGACCTCTGCCCTCGACTCAAGTTGTATACAAGGTTACTTGTGCGCATTCTTAATGATAAAAAATTTGCAAAGTTTAACACAAATTTCTAGACTACTTAACACATAATTAAATAGATCAATCAATATATGCGGTCTGCAATAAAAATACAACTGCGTCGTATCATATTTTATTTACAACTGTGTCGTATCATTTCGTAAAAATCATTATTTTCTTAGAAAATAAACATTCATTTTTAATGAGATTTTGGTAAATGATGCAAAATTTTATTTCAAAGTTGATGGTAAACTCTGAAATGAGTATATAATTTATTTGAAGGAAAATACGATAGATAAGGCAATATGAACTGCATCATATCCACACATTTTCATAAAAATTCTGCTTCGCTTCGAATTGCAAGTTCGCTAAATCTTTTGTTTTACAAAACAGTTGTGCAAGCAACATATACCGAACGAAGCGGAAAATAGTGAAGCGTGCTAATACATATATCTGGTTTTCAGTAATTTCCAATAATAAGAGTTATAAACAAAAACATACGTTTTTCGTTCCAAGATGGCGGCATTTGTTTACATTTTGTAGGATACGACGCAGTTTTGATTCCCAGCCCTGGTAACGCTGTTTGTTTTTAAAGCCTCAATATCCATGCTAATTTTCATGAAAATTTTAAAAATGTATCTAAAAGTATTTTTAGTGAAATAACCAAAAGGAAGCAACTTACACATTATCAATGGCACTTACAACCCACGTAAATTTCTAAAAAGAGGATAAAATATGCAAAAATAGTCATTACTGAGTTAGTAACGCAGTAGAAATATAGTTATAAATACTGAACAATTAGTCATTATTCGCACATGACATGCAGATTATTACTTGAATCTTGAACATTTTTACTTTTCCTAAAATCTTAGTACATTTTTCTAAAGTTTGATTTTATTGAAATATTTTGAATAATTATTCATCTGGAGGCATGCAGCTTTAAGTCAATAATAAAAATGACTTTTTTCTGGAGTGAAACGGAATAAGTAAATTATCTGAAAATTTTCAAAGACATTATAAGTCCAGACCTACATCATATGATACTCAAATCTCGAAAAATATTTTGAAAAATAACGTTCCGGAAATAACCGAGTTGCTACGATATTGGCCGATGTTGTTTTTTGGCGGGAAAGCATAACAGTAAGACTATCAGTGGCACATATTTTACAAGCATCTTTAAATCCATTTTATCCTTTATTTCGATCTTCTTTTACAGGAAAATAATGACGCCACATTGCGACTTTCAAACATCCTGAAATGTAACCCGTTCAGTATTTACATCAGGGCATGCAGGAACGTCCATGTAAATGAGAGGAAAACTTACAGCGGATGTGCAGGAAAACACAAGATAGAGAACAAACGCTGATATTAAATTGAAAAACAATGATGTACGTATGCCGCAGGGATTTGTAATCATCACTTTCAATTTCAAGGGGGTCCAATAGATCTAATTTCTTTAATAAGGGTGCGACCACGAATTCAAGGAGGTCAAGCTATTCATTTAAAGGCACGTTATGCCTGAGAAGTATTTATTTTTATTTTTTTAGAACTGTCGGACGTTTGTTTTAAAGTGTTTGAATGATGGATTTAGAGTATGTTAGATGTTTAACAACTGAGGAAAGTAGCGCTGAACGTGTAGTGACGTGTAATAAAGAGAGCAAAATTTAAACAAAGTACATATAGTATTTTGACTTCCATATAAAATACTTATGCCCTATTATTATACCTATTGTCAACAGAGCTATAGTTGCAAAAGATAGTCAATGTATATGACAAATGTGTATTACTTTGAAAGTTGTAAGAAGATACGAAAAGTAAAAAGTTATTAAGAAATAAAATCGGTAGCATTTCTGAGGCATAATGGATCTTTAATATGTCCAACATCAAATTCAAGCAGTCTGACTCCTTATTAAACCGTTATACTTACTGATTATTACATGTATCTTACAAGATTTACATGTAGCATCACTTGTGTGTACTGGAATGTTTTCTTATGATGTGAATTATTAAGCCAGTATTTTTATATATATTCTGCATCCACTTGGATGCAAGAGGTGAAGGACTCTGCATTACAGTCGGCATCTTAGGAGTACATGGATGTGGGATCCTACATCCTGTAAATTCTATGCTAAATATGGTCTACCATGACAGCCTTAACTTTGTTGCAGATGTCAACCATTTATAAAGGGTTGTTAATTTGGATAAGGTCTATGGGTACATTTTTGTTCCTTTTCACTGAAATGGCAGCGAGTGGTGAATGCATGTCATTGGTTTTATCCAATTGAGGATTTTATGTAACCATATATCAATAGTTGTGCTTTATAAATATATATCTTAATATGTAAAGCAATCAAATATTATATCTACAAAATGTTCATGCTGAAGTAGCATTCATAATTATCTTTTATTTCGCTGCCCAAAATTTATTATTAATTAACCAATAAGAACTATATATAAGTGTCGTTAGATGCATGCTCTTTTCGGCGTTTTTGCATCACTAATTACCAAACGGAGCGTATTTGCATCACTTTAATAACAAAAAGGACCGTTTTTGCATCACTTAAATAACAAAAATGCAGCGTTCATGCATCATTTTAATAACAAAAAGCAGCGTTCTCGTATCATATTAATAACAAAAGCAGCGTTCTTGCATCACTTTAATAACAAAAAGCAGCGTTCTCGCATCACTTAAATAACAAGAAGCAAGCGCTTCTGTGTAATTTCAGATCTTGCTAAAGGAGATGAGGGAATCTCTCAACATTTGTACCAAAATGCTTGATAAGCTCGACAAAAGCACGTCCAACAAACTAGGTCACGTTAAACAGATGCTCGAGTCGTTGACCTCAGACCGTACGGACGACCGTGTGATTAGAGAAGGTATTGAACGCATGCGCCAGCATGTCATAGACCGGAAGAGAATTGTGCGAGTTGCAGACGAACTACCATGGGCTATACGTGTCGCTATTTATAGACTGGTGAATAAATTCGGTAAGCGTTTTTAGCAATCTCTTCAAGTAAATATTTAGCAATAATTCCCTGCGAATTAGTCTCACAGGGCCAACTGCAAAATCTTGGAATTAAATTGCAAAATTTATCAAAGGAAATCAAACCTTTCCATACTTTACAAGACTTAGTAACATATTCGAAAATTTCTTAGTATGCAAAATCAGATGAAAATATTTTGAGAAAATTTTGGGATTGTCATATTTATAATTGTTCGGTATGAGATTTTAATTACAAAACATTTTGTTATTATATAGATCATCTTACTTGGCAAGAATTTGTCGAGGTTGTCGGGGTTAACGAATCTACAATACAGTCTCGTGGCAGGAAAAAAGATGCAGACGACATTGAGCATTCGGATATCCTTGACAAAGATATGTGCGCCAAAATTCTTGCTCAGTGGATAACACAGTCGGAGGAAAACGATGCTGACAAATTGATGAACATTATACAAGAATTTGATGCTCAAATATCGAAAGGTAATAAAAATAACTTAGCAGACGATCATCATGAACTGTAACATTTAATACTTTTATACATGATTATATGACATAAATTTTGTGAAAACAGTCTAATGTTATATACATTGGATTGAATTGGGCACATGAACTATTAAGTTGATCGCTTCAGTCGATTAAAATAAAATAGAATATGCTAATGTAAATAAACTGAAATATTACATAAGTATTTAAGCTGAATATTCTCAATTGTGTAATTTAATGGATTACATTAGGTCCCTCATTTTCAGTAAATATTAGCTTTATTGTCTATATTTTACATTGATAGTCTAACATTTGTATTACTCCTTTAATTCAAAAGTTACCAATCAAATAGATAAGAGGATTATAATATGAAAAAAGTAAACCTCAATGCGAGCTCGATTTACTTTTCCCGTGAAATAGTATGCAATAATTGTTCATTTTTATTTTGCATTTTCCGTTTTAAAATTATCATTCGGTATTTATATACACTCTTTATTTGGTTCCCTGTCCTATTATGGTTCCCATCAAATCCTCACAGTGATTACCTCCCTTGGCAGAATTTAACGAAAAATTAAGGGAATGACACTGTGTGGAGATTTGGGTTCTCAATATAACTGCGTAGGACACCAGTCTACGCTTCCGTTTTCAATCGATAACTCGGCTTTTATGGTTATTATATAATTCGAAAAGTTGCGACGCGATTGTCAATTCGGGTACTTCGGACGAAAGTTTTAAAACCATCATCTAGCTAGCAGATACTTCGCGTTTACCGTAAGCTCAGCTTTGCGAGCAAGGCCCTTCGAGCTCGCTAATACTGGATGCCGGTGAAACATTAGATTTTGATCCTGCCACAACTCGACGTCCTGGGTCATTTTTCGATGACCTTGCCAACATTTCAACATTAAATTTGATCAAAAAGTCGTCAAATATGATCAGTCCTTGATTTTTTATGAGCAATTGGTCATTTTTCAACGGTTTGATCAATACGCCACATACTAAATTCCCAGAGGAAGTTTTTTAGAGGTTGTATTGACAGTTAAAGTAGCTATGGACTTTGAAAAATATTTATTACATGCTTTTCGGTGGTTTATAGAAATATATCAGTGATATAAAACTGGTAATTTCACTGTTTGAAACAGTGAAATTACCACTTTGATAATTTCACTGTTTTGAATCTAAGCCCCTTACGTTGTTTCAGTGAAATACCAGCGTGCACAGAACTGGGTACCAACTTAATGGCGTGACGTCGTAAATGACGTCACGTTGTATTATTATTTGGCGCGCTTTTCATTCAGTATTAGGTTTAATTTCTTTTTAAAACGTTATTTTGCATATAATAAAAAGAAAGTTTGTTTAGTCTTGTGTAAGATCGAAATATATTTCACGTTGTGAACACCAAAAGTTCATATTTCACTCGTGGCTGCGCCACTCGTGAAATATACCTTTTGGTGCTCACTCGGTGAAATATATTCCGATCTTACACTGAACTAAACAAATATCCTCTATATCATCTGATACATATTGGATATCTTTTTTAGATAAAAAATAAGTGATATCTTTATCTTCAGAAATGACTGAAACGTTTCAAAAGAAAACAGTCGGTCAGTCACTTTTACCAACATTTGTTGAACAAAATCAACGGTCTTCCAAGGCATACTCTGAAACTTCCGCCGGGAGCAATCAATCTTCGGGCATGCGCAGAGTAGCGAGTCAACAGCTTCCGGATCACCGATCACAGTTTGAACATCAGCTGGAAGCATGGAAGTTACAAGTGGAGATGAACGAAAAACTTGACAAGATGTGGAATTTAATGGTAGAAGACAGAAACTCGGGGAAGAGGAAAGATCTGAAAACGAGGCAGGAGGATACGACCTATACGAAAATGATTACGGAAGGACAATTTGTATAATCATTTACAAATTTGTGTGTATCATAATGTACAAGTTGAGTTTATGGGGAGGGGGAGGGGGTAAAAATGAGTTTAAATGTTTAAAACATTTTAGAATACATATTATTTCGAGACGGCTAAGAGAGAAACTTTGCTGGAATGAAAAGAATATTGTTTTTGCACAAATACTTAATGATTTTTTGTGCGTTTGTTATGTTGCTATTGTTCCTGCTTGTTTTTATACGGCAGTGCCTAAAATGAACAGTTCCTGCACTGTAACTGAAGTGCACTTATAACACAAGACAGTTAAAGTTTCCTTTTATATACTCGTATTTTTGTCTGTATCAAACAATGTCTCAAATCATTATTCATGTCTTATATGTTTTTTTTTATTGTTTGTTTTTCCATTTTATTTTTGACAATTTCTTTATTTCTTTAACTTCTAACGTTATAAATCTATCTTTACATAATCATAATACATCAGTGCAATCTTTCATGTTAAAGCCTTTCTTTCTGACTCACCTGTCCGTCCTTTAGCAAACATTTTCTCAAAATGTAGGTTCAACATTTCATTTAAATATATTGATATTGTATGTTCTCAATGTATCATATCCTCCCTTAGTTTACATTCTGTACAAGATCTTCAATTGTAATCTTCATTTAAGTATGGTGTTTTGTTTGGTTTTTAGATACAACGACATTAACTTTAATAAGCTGAGATTATCAGCTGGACGAAAAAGGTTTGCCATTTCAAGTTCATTTTTATTGTCTCAAACATTTGTCATAACGGTATATTTATTATACTGGTGCTCATTATGGTTTCTATGTAATATGCCTATTTAATATATTTTTCTACTTGTTAAAGTCATGCCAACTTTTGTGTCATTATCATGATAGAATATTTTGTTATTTTGTTTTTGTTTTGTTTTCTCTTGGTGATACTTAATCGGAGATAAATATTTAATAAAATACATGTATCATACATAGACTTGTTCTAAAAAATAACCCTTTACATTTATAACCTTCCACAGCAAATACTGACTCACATATTTTTTTAAGGCTTTCACTATGCTATTAAATTTTGATGTATACATGTAGTGCTGTTTGTTTGCCCGGTTTTACGGCGCAACAATACAGTATAGGTCATATGGCACAGAATCAGAAAAGATGATTTTTTTGCTAACCTTTGTTGTTACAATCTTCAAAGCAATATCAGAGGTCAAACAAACCTCACCTGCAAGAGCTATTATATGCGTAGACTCCAATAATTCGAACCCATTTAGTCGTCTATTACGCTCACGCATGGACAACCGTCAGCTGCAATTCTTATGACTCACCTTCTAAAGGCAACCCCTCAGCCAGAAGAGACTTCTCTTACAGTGTTTCATCCCTTGTATTTTTGTATGTGATCAAATATTTGACCTTTGAACATTTCTTAAATGACGACGAAAGAAAAACACGCTTTAACATATATGAAAAGACTAACATTGAATTAGTTAATGACATTATTATATTCTATCTTTTGCTGAGCAATGCTTCATGCTAAATATCTAGGTTATAAGCATTTTCTCTACTGAGGAGAAGATATTTCAAAGTTATTTTCCTGTGCAATGGTCTATGTGAAATAGTTACAGAAGTTACACCTTGAGTGGGGTGAATTATCCATGGCCTGACCTGGGTTATGATTTTTTAAAGAAATTCACAGTTGCTACACGCTATTTATCTAAATGTAGAGATAAGCTGTCTATGAGGCACAGCTATTTCTATGTCATGTTGTTCAAAAGAGTTTTACAAATTTGAGTCGACGCAAAAATGTTGCACAACACCCAGAGCATAACATTTGAAAAATATCAAGATTAGATACAAAAATTCTGGCGGCTTTGAAGGTTATAAGAAAATTTATTTCTTTTACAAAATGACAAGAATAAAGATCAACAAGGCAAAGGCAACGTTCACAGGACGCCGCCCCCGGACACACCCAAGCAGGACACCCAGAAGGCACAGAAGTCACTGTATAAAATGTGACACCGATGCGGTGCCATTTTTTGACCCAGAGGCGAGTTTTACTTAACTTGTGCTAGTTCTAGTAGACAATGTGTTGTGCAACATAATTCTTATATTTCATGAAGCTTGAATAAATGTGTTTTATTTTCAATATCCTTTCTTATACAAGTTCACCTAAAAAAAGATATCTTGTGCTCGGCTAAATACAACCTCGGCGAATGATTTATTTAACATTCGTAGAAGAAGGTTCGTTCGGCTACATACCTAATATGTAAGCTATAAAGATTAAAAAAATTGTGTGGATTAAATGTTTAAAATATGTTTTCAATTCAAGTCAATGACACGAAAGTTATCTCGATGCCATTTTTAACCGTAGTGTGTGTACCTTGTGTAGAAGTTTGGTAGACAATGCGACATGCCAAATATTTTAACTATAAACAATGTTGTTGTTGTTTTTTTCAGACAAACATTTCTTTTAAGTTTGTTTCCCTTAATACGTCAATGCAAAAAAAAAAAACTATTATTAAAATTGAAATTCTGAGGAAGGACTGTTCTTTCCTGGATAGAAAACATTTTAAGTAGATGTGAACAGCATATAGTGGTTTATAGGTAAACAAAGAAAGAGTCCTCCATGGCTCATTATTGTAGCCTGTCCTCTTCATCATATGTTTTATCATATAAATGATATACCAGACAAATTACAATCGTTGGGTGAAATATTTGCTGATGATAGTACGCCTTGCCGTGAAATAAAGTTTTATAAAAGACCTGGATACTCTTCAAGAAGTTTCAAATACATTCGGTGTCGGGAGTAACGCCTGACTTATAAAAGTTTCTATTCCTTATTGTAAACTAGTTCAAAATATATTTAGATTAGCAACCTACTTATATAATGACCGATAACCATAGTGTTCCCGTAGCCCTGCCCAACCCACATCAACCTGGAAAAAAGATATAAGTGTACTTTTTGAAAACATGACTCATGATCTTGAGATGGTTAACAAAAGTATTAAATAATCAGGAATGACCAAAATATTTTTTTAATAAATGAAACGTTTACTCTTTAAGGTGTCTGTATAAATCAGTTTTCAGTTACATAAAAGAACATTCAATGCAATTTATTGAAATATATAACGAAAGGCGACACGAATTTCAACAGAACTGAATGGTTTTAGCTATGAAGACCGTCTTATGATACTAAAACCTATCAACACAACAGTACTAAAGAGACAAAATATGACCTTATATAAACTTATAGAACAGTAGTAATGGCATTGAGCCAAACAATTTCTCATTTTTAAAAATAATGTGACCTGGTGACACATCTGCAAGATACAGAAACCTGAAGAATCAACAAGTCAGTACGACAAAACTCATTTTCCACTATGTGTATTGATAATTTGAATTTAATAAATGGAGATATAACATGTAGTGTCCCTATGCTAGGTTTTATATGTCAACCTAAATAATCGGCGTTACAAAAGATTTGACACTTCAAAATAAACATGTTTGTTTGTTTGATTGTGTTTCACATCACACCAACACAGTATAGGTCATATGGCGACGTTCCAGCTTTACTAGTAGAGGCAGATCTCAGATGCCTTTCCGTACATTATTTCAGGCATGAACGGGCACCTGAGTATAACCACCGACATCCGCAAGCTAGCTAGATAGCTTCCTCATTTGATTTGAAGTCAACGACCTTATCCACTTCGGCGCAGACGCCCCACAAAAAAACATTTATATTCTCTTTGAAGTCATTTTGCAAAAAAAACTTGTAGGCTACCTCAATATAACAAGATCATTTATATGTGTCACCTCTTAAGCATAATAGCTCAATTTTAAGGTAGAATTAGGGACCATTTCTCATGACGTAAGTCTATGGGAAAATCAATGTGAGAGTCTGACCTTATTCGCGAAAAAAAAAAAACTGCGGAAACGTCCACATTGGAGAGTGAATTCACTCAATACCGGAAAGGATAAAATGACCCGAAATTTCATATAAAAAAATACGAACAATCAGATGAATATTTATGTTAAATGACCAAACGAAAACTTACTTTAGAGCAGACATATGAATAAAAGTAAGTCAAACGTCAGCGTAAATATGATTGATTAAAAGAAAGCATGAAAACTAACATCTTTATATTTTTGAATGATCATACATTGCGTTTAAAGCGACTCTAGCTGCTTTTAAAGTGCGGCACAATTGAAGGCTTTTAGCCTCTATTGGTTGGCCCAATAAAAATGTTGAGTCCAGCTTAGACAGGTTAATCTTGTAATAAGGGCGACCCGAGTCTCGGTAAAAATTCGAATAGATTTTGAGTTATAGGTTGCTTTCTATTGCTTCAGTAGAATTCTAACGAAATACGCCACGGCAAGCCGGCACCAGACCAGAGCGTGTACAGAAAACTGTATAGGAGAAGTCAACACTGGCTTATTTCACTCCGATGACAAAGTTTAAGACACAAGTAACTTTTATAGGTAATTCCGTACATAACTGCATATGGCTTGGCATACATGTATTTGTTCATACGTATAAACATTTGAGAACATCGATGGTGATTTATTCACTTGACAAAACTTTTATTGCATTGCTTAAATTCATGTTAATCCTTAAATGTTTGTCATTCAAGATTTTCTTATCCATATTATTGTAGTAGAAGTCTGCTATTTAGTTAAACAAAAACGACTGTGGCACACTTTTTAAACTTTGAAATATCGAGATTAAAAATGAATTTCATTTACAAGATGATATATTTGTGACACTTTGTAGGGCATGCATCTTTCTTTGTCAGCTAATAAAGAGCCTGTAGAACTTCTGAAATATGTTTTATTGATTGTTCTATGAATTAGTCAATTGTATAGAAAATATCATTTGGCATAGTATTGTCGAAGTGGAACAGTTCTGTTATAGGGCTATCAGTTATGCACACAGTCGGAATTGAGGTAAACGTCGCATTGTTATGCACACTTGTAAGTGATAACTCATTTGGGCTTCTAAAAGTTTGAATTACACAAAATACTATTAAAACAAAGCAAAATATACTGTACTTGGTACAAGGAAAACAAATTACCAAAATATGATTAAACTTTTATTCAAGCAGTCAAAGGAACTAACACATGCTAACTTGATAAATCTCTACACTAATCTTTCATTTGAATATAAAAAAGATTGTACCACCAACATTGACATGTGTTCTTTTGTTAACAAATATAATGTGGTGATATTCTTATTGTTATTCACTAATCTGATGATTTGATCAAGATCTTAGGGATAAATTGATAAATTGTTATGTCAGTAAAAATCACTCCCTCGCACACATTCGAAGATGTATGATTATAACAAATAATAACTAAACGCAAATATATATTCATAAAAACCAAATCATTCTATACCGTACAATTCTTCTATTAATCATTAAACAACAACACAGCCAAAAAATTATGATAACATTCACTCCTTTATTTCGCTATGAATACAAAAATAACTGACATCTCTAAATGTCAATATTGATGTAAACATATAATGAAAGGAATTCTCCTTTTTAGGAAAACATTTACACATGTTCATTTGAAGTACATCGATGGGCATTTTTCCTTGTCAGCTTATGAAAATCTTGTTGATCTAGTGAATTATTATTCAATCAATTGTTCTATGAATTTGACACAACATCATTTCCTGTATAGAAATTACTATTTGACATAGTGTTTTCATCGAGGAACAGTTCTGTTATGGGGGCAGCTATGCACGAAGGCGATGTACAAACGCGCACGTGCAAATGATCACCCTTTTGTGCCTCTGAATTATATGATTAAAGGCTATTAAAAACAAAGCAAAAGTATACTGAAAAACATAAGAAAAAAAACTTTTATTCAGGACATAAAGTAATCGGCAAACGTACAGCTACTGATTTATGCAACGCAATATTGTATTTAAATTGATATGCGAAGGATAAAGCAATCATTAATGTTGTAACATAATTAGCAGAATACTCCCAAACACCCAAAAACTTAATATATGTTCATAAACCACATATTACAGAATTAGCAGTAAGAAAATTGATTCCATATCCAGTCACAACTTGCTCTGACAAGTTTGTGAACAATACATTTCATACGTAAACATACATGTATTAGCCAACAAAAACATAATTTTATCGCTTTCATATCTTAAGACTATATTTCAATATCCCATATTATCTTCAAAATTAACTAAACACATTCAAAAGAAATATTACATTAAAGATGTTGAAACAGACTCTAAAGTAATTTAGTATACAATTATTCAAACGAGTATCGGTGAACACATATAGTATGCCCATTGTTAGCGCACATTATTTCTGTAAAGAGTTATTTAGTGCCACGAACTTCGAAACATATTTCATAATATGATAAAGCTGAATAAGGACAAGAGGGCCATCTTACATTTTAGGGAAAACCCATGGCCGCCGAAAGGGGAGCAAATTTTGACCCTAATGGCAATGAATTGGTCATTCGTGTAACATCCCATATGTCACTTGCTTTTATTCTTGAAGGAGATGACTTTTACTATATATAAATATTAGAAAAAAAACACATGACCTCATTTTTAAAGTTTTTTTTCGGTTTTCATGGTAATCACAGGTACGCCTAAAACGGATATTTTGAAGAACTTGAAAATGGATCACACAACGATCATTCCTAGTTTCTTTTTAACAAGTGGTTTTAGGAGTAGATTCTTCTAAAAGAAGTGTGTACTGACTGATAGACGGAAGATGAGTGATGACACTATATCACCAGAGCGTGAGAGATCAAACAACGACCGTTCTAAGGTCAATTTATTTTACACTTAACGTCCATCAAAAATATTGGTTATATGTACATTGACTATATTATATTGACTGTGTTAAATATGCACACAATATTAATTATACAAAAAATCAACAACAACAAACAAACAGGATAAAAAGAAAAAAACACAAAAAGCAAAACAAAAGAAGACAAGAATCATTGTTATATTCTAAAGGTATTCAAAATGTTTATGGTTTCATTAAGGAAATTTGGATTGATCATGTTAAACATATCTTATTTTCTGTGTATCAACTAAATAAAGACTAAGTTTGAGCTCAACATAAAGTACTGTCTTCCTACAATACCTAGCATTGTTAAAATAGTTCTTATTGAATACCATAACAGGGGAAGGAACATGGCTTTATATAACTTAAACCACAAAAAAGTTTGTTTAAAGTAAATGTAATAAAATCGTTAGGAAACAACATTTAACAACCTGATCAATTATGTATGACCAAATAAGGAGGGATGTGTCCTAACCTACACATATACTACATCATACTTTGTTTTTGAAATCATATTTATATAAAAAACGACCAAATCCCTAAAATTATAATGCTACAAACAGCGAATAAAAATGTTCACTAGTATTCTTAAAAGCATAAAGCATGGGATGTAATATTTAAGCGCGAAATAATCATTTTGGTCATTATCTGAGCTTAGCGATTCTGTCAATCATAATTGATCATGTTCATCAATTTACGGACGAGGATTTAAAAGATGTTGTTTTATTATCTGAATATCACTGCTAAGTGTTTGTACACCTTGAAATGCACTTCCTATAGCCTGCACGTTACTGTTGACGTTCTGAATGTCTTGGCGAACAGTCTGCATTTCACCTTGCATGCCCTGAATATCACCATGTAAACCTTGAATATCACCATGCATACCCTGAACACCACTTTCCACTATGTTTATATGTGCTTTTAAGTTATTTATGTTGTCATGGATATGAGACAAATTTATTTCTGTTTCAAAACTTTTTAAACAAGGCACGTTAAGTTCCTCTAATATAGGAACAATAGGAGTAACAACTACTGTCCCGTATGTTGTACCTCCCTCTACAATCCCTATACATGTATGTTGAGAATTGTTGTCGTCAACAACGAAGACAAGTGCCCCTGAGTCGCCTCGGTCAGCAAAAGGAAGGCCATGTGTATGATCTTTAACTTCAATTTGGTTAAACAATGTTATAGTTGCACATCCTGAAAACAGTGGACAGCTCTCTAATTCTTTTACTCCCATAGCATCAAATATGATTTTTCCATCTCTTAATTCTGTTGTCGATCCAAATTTCACAACACGATCTTGCGTTAAATTCAGCATACCTGTGTCACACATTCGCCAACTGTCATAGTTTATTGTCTGAAAACTTGATCCTGTAATACAGTCGTAAATATATCAAAACACTGAATTTTGATTAACAGTTACAGTGTTATTAACTTAAACCATAAGCATTTTTACTAATGTTAAGTTAATATCCAATAAAAGTATTAAGGAGTGTGTTAAAATGTCACAAAACAATAAGTAAGCATTGCGGCATACGTTTTTGTTTGTTAATAAAATATTTTTAAATAAAAATAACGTTTCAAAAAATAAGACTTAAATGTGGAAGTCTATAACCTATAGTCAATATAGATTAATTAATATCTTAGTCCTGAGCATAGAAATATAACCAGTATTGAACCCAGGATCATGATATCAATTTTGTTAAGGTCAATAAGGCCTACATGCTTAATATATATATAATAATATAATAATTTTCTGAAGACACTGTAGTATCCACACAATGAAACTTATTTTCCTATATATGTCATTATTAGTGATATTTCTACCCAATGATTTTGCTTTATTTCTATAGGTTTTAAAGACACATAAATGAAATGAAAAATGACGAAATTTGACCTTGACAGTGACAAAGAAGGTCAAACCTTTGGTGCGCACATCGTGTTATTATGTTTTATATTAAGTCATGTAATTTTAATTAATCTGTTCAAAATAAACGGTTCTAGCCCTTGTTATTTTGGAGAACAAGATTTTTAGATATTTAATCATACAAATATAGAAAAAACCCATTACCCCTGGGTCGGACCAAATTAAACCATTGAACTATAATGTTAACAAACTTGATAAAAGTAAACAAAATGATTTTTATCCCAAATTTCTTAGATCTGGTATGTGTGGTTTTAGAGAAAAACGGACGGACATAGCTCGGTCACAATAGCTCATCATGAGCACGTTTTGTAACGGTAAGATAAATTTGTTAAATAAGGATCAAAAGCCAAAAATAACGAGCTGAGCCAAAACAACTTGACATGAGATAAGTTTTGAAACGAAATACTTACATGCCAAACATAAACACAAACACTGAAATCCTTCAAAAGTAAAGTTGTGGCAACCAATAGTTTTACTTAAAAAATGCCTTAAAAATATCAAAACTATAGTCTAAACGGTTTCAAAGGAGTTGACTTTTTAGACTTCATTTTATTTATGTAAGACAAGAGGGCTCAGTGGGCCCCGAAAGCTCACCTGAGAAATAGGTCAAAAGGTCAAATTGGAAACGATTTTTACCCTAGAAGCACAATATGAAACATGGGACAGCTTAATCTGAACAAATTTTGTAGTCACCAATGTTTGTGTAAAAATTATTTCCAAATTTAGATTTTATTTAGATGTTGTTGTTGTTTTCTAATTTTAGCTCTTGCAGCCATTTTATTAAACATTTCAGCCTGTCACTAAGTGAGAGTGTGCTAATAAAAAGATAACAGAAACAAGGAAGGAACTGTCGACCTCTATCCCCTGGGGCGAGCCAATTTTGACCCTATGGGTTTTCTTTCCACAAACATGGCAGACATTTACTAGAATATGTTTCATGCCAAATATCTAAGTTCTATCATTTTTGGATTTAAACAAGTAGATTTTTTTTAATTTTTACTGTATACATAATTTATAAGGAAAATCAATGACCTCTGTGGCCGGGCCAATTTTGAACCCAGGGCTTTTTTTTGGTACCTCGGGAGGCTTCGTCCTGTGAACGTTGCCATTGCATTTTTGATTTTTTATTCTTGTTTTATTTTTACTATATACATATAAGGAATACAAATGACCCATTGGGTGAGGCCTATTTTGACCTTATCGCATTTATTGAAACAAAATGTGTATACATCTACTAGAAGATGTTTCATGCCAAATGTCTAAGCTCTACCTCTTTTTGATTTTCACAAGAAGATTTTTTAAGTTTTTACTTATTACATATAAGGAAAATCAATAACCCCTGGGGCGATGGACGACGGACAATGGGCCATCACAAAAGCTCACCGTGAGCTAAAAAAGCCCATAACCCCCATGGACGTGTTCATTTTGACCAAAGGGATATTATTTTAACAAGTAGAGGCCACTCAAGCTCTAACCATTAAAGATCAGAGAGGATGGCTAAAAAAAATGCAATAAATATGTTAGGAAAACCCATGACGCCCTTGGGCAGGGCAAAATTTTATCAAATCGGTAGAGGTCAGCTACATGCTGTTTCATGCAGCGCACCTTAGCTCTAACTTTTTCACTGCTTTGGAGGAAATAACTATAAAATTGCTTTACTTCGGCTGCTATATATGACAAGTATATAATGCATGGTATGATGTTTTTAAACGATTTAAAAAAAATATCACACAAGGATCATTCCAAGAAAGATTTAGAGGGAGTTTTTGTTTAAAGAAGTGCAGACCGACGGATACCTGACGGTGTGTGATGCAATAGTTCACCTATAGCACGTTGTGCTTTGGTGAGCTTAAAATTGTGAGTATTTAACTTTACACGCATACAAAATTCAAAAAAAAAATACAAGAATAATACAAGGTGATACCCGAAATTGCCGTTGCATCAGGGAAATTTGCCGTTTTCGGTTGTCTGTCTGTGATTCTGAACAAAGCCACATCCATTCCACAGGTATTGCCTGTGCCTTTTTTGCAGATAAGTTGAACAACGTTTCCTAATACAGACTGGTTATCAGCAGGTTGATAAACATTTGTGGACATACCATGCAATGGCCATTTCACCATACCTAATGATTTCAACCGCTTCAGCTTCAATGAATGTAAAAGTACATGTGCACATGTCAGCCCACAAACTCCGTATTGAGGATGATCTATAAAACAGCCAAGGGTGCCGCTAAAACTATCTCCACCTATTTGACATCCCATTCTTACAGGATCTAGCTTTTCCCCGGCAGTATGTCCGTACGGAATAAAGGCCCCTTCTCTAACATCAACTGGAATGTCGTCATAATTTGTTTTAAATGGTTCTTCATCAATTGGAATGTAACTCTTTTTCTGGACGTAAAGGACGATACATTTTTCTGGCACCAATTCCCATGATTCGTCAAATCCTTTTGATCGATTTGAGCATGCAGATATAATTGACAGATACTTGTGCTTCTTCATCAGATCTTCAGAGTGTTTTGAAATGCAGCTCTGAAGTTTTTGATAGGACTCTTCATCAAATCCTTCAGAAGCTGAGGTATGTTTCTTAATTACCTCTGAGCCTTCTGAGCTAAATTCGCCGACGTATTGGTTGACAAATGAATACGTAATCAATTTATCTAAACTTAGAGGCTCTGTCCTATCGTCATTTTCTGATTTGTCTTTCACAATTACTACAAAAATTATTTTATGCGGGTTTTGAATTGTATAAGCAGCCCAAACATGTACAATACCGGCATGTTTCGATTTTATATGTTCAACAATTGCCTTGCATGTGATAGCTATCTCTTGGGATTTCCTCTCGTAAACCTTACACATCTCATCAAGTATTTTTTGGCTTGGCAGCTTACCCGATTCAATTAATTCTCTAATGTCTGTTAGACTCCCTGAACAGAGAAAGGGATCTAACACTACATCGTCATCACCTAGAAACATGTTAAAAAGTATAGTGCATGCATTATTTGAAGTATTATTATTGATGTTAGGAATGAAAATCAATCAAACAAAATAGAAGGGTAACAACACATGTACTGTAAGGTTGATCAATTCCACAGCGAAATTAATACGAAGTCATTTAAAGCTTAGGGGTAGAAAGATAGATGACAGTTTATTTTTAATACATTCATGTAAAAAATTGAATTTTGTGGATCCTGTAAGAATATAATAATATATTAATAACGTTTAACGTCATATTATTTATATTACGAGGTGAACCACGGGCGACTGAAAGATGGAGTTCTTATGATTATTTGTTAGGTGTATATCTGATAACCGTCACGGAAATCCTGGAAAACTTTAAGGATTTTGTCGGAAAACGTTTTATAATTTATTATCATTTGATACCGAAGAAACTTTCATCGAAAATGATGATTTTCATATTTACTGAAACTCCGTGACATTTATATGAAGAAAGACTGATCCATCGGAAGAAATAATCACAACAAAATAACATGAAAATAATATAATCTAGTATCGGCACGATTAATTCTGTACACGAGGGATAATGAAAAAGTGTAATATCCCTGTGGCAACGAAGTCTTTAAAATTTATTTCATTTCGTACAGATGCCATTGTAATAAAATCCTACTCTGATTGAAAATCTGTACTACAAACGGGTGGAATAAGTTATCAAATTGTCTATTTTCATTAAAATTAATGAACAAAATAAGTCATTGCTAAAACTACACTTATCGGAAAGATCAATAATTAGATTATGTAATATAGCTGGTTTGAAACCTGATGTATAAGAGATGACAATTTACCAGCGGCTAGTTAAGTTGAAGTCGGTGTGAAAACGCATGTGACAAATCAAAAATGCATCAACTAGTTTTATATTGCCAGTGAGATTTTGTTTAATGTTTGAGATATATTTTAACTGCATAAAAATAATTCCAATTCCGTTATCCTGGCGAACTAGAACCTAAAGCTTCTGTAGCTACCGGGTTTTGGTAATTCACTAAATCAACTAGATACAAAATCGCTAGAAAAACATCATGAGTTATTTTTATCAAAGACAAACATCAAATCCTAAGTGACACATGCAAATGCCTCTGTGATTTCCAAGAAGTTCGTATTGTTGTTGCTTGGGAATATGCAGAAATAAAGAATTTTTAATCAAGATACCGTCTTATGTAGAAATTTTACTTAGTGAAAGTAAAGTAGCGAACTACGAAACGTTGCACATTATTTTTATACCTGCTAAGATGTAGTAAATGACAAAGAGGTTAACTTTAAAAAAATAAACCTCTTCTCTAGATATAACCATGTTTCCTAATATGACACCAATATGAATGGTCCAGGAAACGGAACCAAAGAATTAGAGGATGTTGAAATGACTCGTTTTACCATCCATCAGAATAAAAATACTTTATGTAACAAACGACGACAGTGTCAGCAAATCAATAAAACAAACGTTTGTACTTAATACCAATATGCCTATTTTAAAGTTAACATTTTAAAATCACTTACGAGATTCGTTTATTTCGGTTGCATCTCCAGCTGTGCGACGTGACCCCAGGCTCCCTAAAACATATATTAAAATGTTGGTAAATGTCACAAATGTCTGTTAGATACAGAAATTCTTCTTGTACAGTTCAACGTATGCATAATAATTGTTGTTTTGCTTAAATGGGTAAAGCATTGCTGGACTTAAATCTAGAAAAAATGCAGCATGTGTTTTTGGGTGATCATAACATATGAAAAGTTTTGCTGGAACTGTCAAGTCTTAACTGACATGAAAGAACAAAAGATATAAAGCGTACTGAATTTATCGTTAAATCAAGTTACTATCCTGAATATCATTGCATTACATGTATAATTTCCGAATTGTTGCGATTATTTGGATTATTTAAAAGACAGAGATGTCCAATATGTTTGTGTTGTTGTCGCTTTGGTGACATTTATACAGATATAAAGGGAGTTTTTATTGCCGATACCATTAAATCTAGAAATTTAGCTTCTAAAACTAATAAAGCACATTACGACCATGTTTCCTAATTTGACACTATTATAAATAATCCAGGAAACGGAACCGAAGTAATGGAAAACATTGATTACTTTTCTAAACTATTGCGTATGAACATAGGAATCTTCATGTTTGAAAATAGATTAGGCATTTAAATCTCTTTTCAACAAATAGAATCTTATTGCAGATAACCGTGAAGCAGCCACTCGGAAGACATCCTTGATTTGTAATTATACAGTGTTTGACTTACTTATAAACAAATTATGCATGCATAAGATAATATCCATACCAAAATTTACTTCCACTCATTCATTTCTTAATCCAAAGTGTCTTAACGTGCGTAATACAAAATTGTTCAATAGAGAAAACAATTGACATTGGCATTAAGGTATTGTTCAATCTATGACTGCATTAAAATAATTCAAATTATAAGTTTGCCACATAAAAGTAAAGTTGTCTTAAGCTACCTTGTCTTGACATAATAACTCAACCAACTTGCTGCAAACAAAATATGCAAAATGTTATAAGGAAAATTAGCACTATCACAAATAAACAGCAGCTGCTAAGTGACCAATGCAAATGTCTCTGTGATGTTCATTATGTTCGTGTTGTTGTTTCGTAGGTGGATATTATACAGGTATGAAAAGAATGCTCATTCAAGATACCGTCTAAATAAGAAATTGTATCAAGTAAAACTAAACTAGCAAATAACCAAACCTTACGAATTAATTATATGCTAAGATGAATTAAATGACTTTAAAGTCAACTTTAAAAATTCAAATTCTTCCTTAGAAAACAACCATGTTTCCTCATATAACACAATTATAAATAATCCAGGAAACGGAACCAAAATAAGTGACATTTCGAAAGGAATTCGAATTGACTCGGGTTGCCATCGATTTGAGTTTAATTAGCTTATGTTACAAACAACGACAGCTTAAAACACACTTTATTATCACATTGTGACATTTTTATTTAAAAGTTAACATTATAAGATCACTTACAAGGTTTATAAATTTCGGTTGCATCTACAGCTTTGTAACTGGTCTCCGGACTCTCTTTAATACATATTAAACATGTTGTTTAATGTCATAAATTTCTGTTACACACACATATTTATACATATTTATTATTGTATTGCGCATATATATGTAAAGATTATTTGACTTAAATTTAGAAAGTTTATATGGTGATGTCTCATATGTTTGCGTTGCTGGTGCTTCGGTGAAGTTTTATAAGTATAATCCAGTAAAAAAATCAAATCTTTCTTTTTCCTTATATATGATACCAGTATAAATGATCCAGAAAACGGAACCGAAGTAAGTGTCATTTTGAAAGGAAGTATTACGGACGCGTTAAACCATAGATCTGAATTAAATTAGCTTATGTAACAACAAACAGCAGCGTAAAACACACCTTACATTCTTACCACTTACAAGGTTTTTTTTATATGCATCTTCAGCGTTGTATATGGAGTCAGGCTCTCCTAAATACGCATTAAACATGTTGCTAAATATCAAAACTGTCTGTAAAATACACAAATACGTGTTGTACAGTTCAGCTGATGTATGTTTATTATTGTTTTGCTGAAAAAGGTATAGCGTTATGTGACATAAATACATATAACACATATAATTACACCAGTATAAATGATGAAGGAAACGGAACCTAGGTAATTGACATTTCGAAAGGAATTTGAAAGGGCTCGTTTAACCATCCACCTAAATTAAGTTAGTCTGTGTAACAAGCATCGACAGTGTCAGCAAATCAATAAAATTTACCTTCATACTTAATTTCGCAGTCTCCTTTTATTGTTTACTAGTCAATGCAGAGATGTCAAGCAACTTTTATCAACAATTTAAAACTGTTAACCTCCTTAAAAGGAAATTTGAGGTTATAATCTTTTGTATTAATTATATTTTCATTAAATAAGACTAATAATTATTTATATATTGGTAATTTAAATATTGAAATTATCATTTGTTCCCAGTGACTGTGAGCTTTACAGTTCAACATTATTTTATGTGAAGCTGGGTTCACATAATTTAATTTGAAGTTGGCAACTTCACAAGTTGTGAAATATGAACTTCCACACGTTTTTGTGTGAAGTCTGGGTAGTATATAAACTGCTGTGAGCTCATTTTCGAGGACACACACGCAGAACAACTTGCTAAATACAGTATACATTTTATTCGAGAAACAACAATTTTTAAGGTACTTTAACCTATTTTTGTGAATATTTTCTACAAGTCTTTACATGGAACTACTATTTTGATAAGTAATATTTAAAGCAATTTTAAGCTGATAATTTTATTGATTAAAAATAGCAGTTTTACAAGGCTTATTGACAGTACTGAAAGGTTATTTAAATTTACCTGCCTTATATGTCTGAATTTGTGACTTTGTTGAATGTAATCAAGTCTGAATGAGAAAGTTACTGTTATGTAAACACAATAATAGCGATGTATTGTTGACATTAGTTAATTAAATATAATTGCAATTGACTGTTGAAAGAGGAATGATATATGTGTTTATTAAATGAATGAATTGAAGTTATAAGTTTATCACAAGTCATAGTTTTTCGATGTATCACATGAATTATCACAAGAATTAGTGTTTTGGAAGATCAAGATCGCTACCCATACCCATAACAGATATTGCCCATTATCACCCAAGTTCGGAATCCAAGGCTCGAGCTACCAATTGTGATCGACTGACTTCCGTGTCCAAATAGCGTAACACTAAATTTATGGTGGGAGCGGTGGGATTCAAACTTCCTTGAATCCAACGATACGAACCAACGTTTGTCCAAGATGTCATCACACGATAGGCCAATAATTACTGGTGATGAGATGTTTACACAGGAGGTTGATGAAGAAATAACGTTTCGCTTCCCTGTGACCGGTCCTGTCACCCCACATAATTTAGTAGATCAAGTGCCGGCGACTTCATATGAAAGTGACATTCAGCACGATGTCAACATTGATCATGATGGTGTGAATAGTATTCACCTTAATCAAAGAAAGCACGAGGAGGGAGACAGTTCTTTATCAGAAATTGGTCAGGTAGTCAATAGTATGGCTAGTGTATTAAAAGATGTTTAAAAGAGTTGCAACTTTTGAGACAGCCAACTGTAAACAAAGAAACCTATCCTAGCCAAGATTTGAATAACAGACACAGGCCGGCTAATGATGCATTCAGCCAATATACTCCAACAGGATGCCCTACATCATTGGACAGGCAGTATAGCAACAGAAAGACAGGCATTTACTTCATATGGTGATCATGTCAACAGTAATACATCCTATAGTAAAAATAGAGTCTTGCTTTATCAAGATGAAGGTTACAGACGTGATTCATTTAGAACTAGCCCACTTGAAGGATTTCCAGATAGGTCAACGCAGTATTTACCAAATAATAGTAATGATTCAACATCATACAATAGTTTACAGCAGTCATCAAGGCAAGGTCAAGTTAAGGGGAAGATTCCGCCTTTCACGAGAAAAGAAGACTAGGCAGTGCGGCACGCACGATTTGAAGCAAAAGCCGCAAGGTGGAGCATAGATAATAGGCTGGACCAGCTTCTTCTACGCATTGAGGGACAGACAGCACAATTGTTTTTCTCACAGTTGCAGCCAAATGTAATGCATCATTATTATGCCATTGTTTCTGAGATAAACAACAGATACCGTATTATCGAAACACCCAGGTCCTTTGCAGCTAAGTTTAGCCAATAAGTGCAGAAACATGACGAGACAGCTGAAGAATTTGCGTCTGAAACAAGCTTTATAACAAGGCTCGTGTTTACCGAGATACAAGAACAAGAAATGAAGATCTTACAAGGCGTTTTCTAGATGGCATACTAGACGAGGATATAAGATTTCAAGTAGAATACCATAAAGACCCTTACACTAAAGATGGGGCAGTATTTCATGTAGTAAACATGATTCAAACACGACATGCCCATAAGAGTGATTTTGACCAGAAAAACAGGAGGAGTGCGAGACAAATAGTATGCGTCTATGAAAATTAAGGTGACGAAATTGAAAGCTACGAAGAGAAACTTAGGTCAAAATATGAAAATCAAGATCAACAAGGAAAGGCGGCGTTCAATGAACAAGTTGGGCGAATTCAAGCCAAGGGAGAAGACAGCAAAATAATTTTAACAACAATAAAGGGGTACATAAGAACGAAAGAGACACCCAGACAGTTCCGATGCAGCATCTTCTTGAAAGATTAGACCAGCTTGAGAGCAAAAAAAGCATATTATAACCAATAACCGAAGTCTCGGCAGAAACAGAGAATGTTATAATTGTCATGAAACATGCCATTTTGCTAGAGAGTGCCCAAAGAATAGGATCAACAGAGATAAAAATTCAGCACAAACTGGCCAGAGTGTATCAAGACAAACAACAAAATAAATTATTGGCTGAAGCTTTAAACTTCAGGGTACCAGCTCTCGCGGCCAGAGGGAGGTCCCATTAAAGAGTGAGGGCCAAGGTCAAGGGAACTGTGCATATGATGTTAAGGAGGCTGCGGTAGACAGGGAAGAAAGGGG